TTTTGAAAACATCAAACGAAATCACATTTTCAATAAAAAACATTTTGTCATTTATTGTGTGTAATTACTATTACTATGAACGATTCGAGATTCTAATATTCGTGGCTGAAATATTGAAAAGGCTGTTTTGACAGCTGTCTCGTTGTAAAACATTCCATTCCTTCACTCGACTACACGTGACATTATCGTTTTGGAATGACACGCCTGCAAACAGATGTGATAGGGACACGTCAACATACTAAAGGTACTAGGAAACTGCTCTAAGTTCTAACGGTGTTAGTCAAGCGATAAACGGTCTCATTTACTCGTGTGTTGCCGTGGAATCTTCCCAATCGTGATGTGCTAAATCTATGTTCTAGTTCAGATCAGTTCAGTCAAAGAGAATATTATTGTTTAGAAACTGAACTTGACTCCATTATACGACCACAACATTAGATCAGGTGTTTGACGTCATCCACGTCACAACACGCGAGATCAAAACACGCGCACCTATATCCAGGTGACAAGTTTACACCGGCGGGAGTCAAAAAGAGCAAAGCCTTTGCTCATTGCTGACACTACAGATAACATATCAAATAAAAAATAAATTTACGAACAAGGGAAAATCAAGATAACGTCTTCTAATATTAAATTAGAAAGACAATTGGACCTATCCTAGATCTACAATCTGCAAGGTTACAAGTGTTTTTGGCATGGTCAAAGGGAGACAATTCAATCGAACGTTTGTCAAGCTCCGCGCAGCGATAGTCCGTTCGCGGAGCTCTCTATACTACCGAGAGTGTAACGAAGGTATCACGCGCTGGGAAAGGAGCTTGAACGTTTGTGGTCAAAGGGAAGTAATTCAGCTAGACATAGACTGTGCTCCTGTCTAGGTAAAAGCACTAAACTTGCGGCGCGTACAAACAGTGGAACCAGTTTACTTGGTACTTTGATTTGTTTGTTGTTTACGCCACACTCAGCAATATTCCAGCTATATGACAGCGGGCTGTAAATAATAATAGTAATAAAAAAGTCAGCGAGCATGGGTTGCTGAAAAACTATTCTACCCCGGATCTTCACGGGTCTTGGTACTTTGAAATTGAGCCGTTAGGACAGAGGGTACAATTTAGTCTTAGCCAACGGCTAGTAGGTTGGCGAGGACCGGAAGCGCTCTAGGACAGGCAAACCAGTCCAAAATAATCTGTGTAATATGCGCATGTCCGAACTAAGTTGTGACGTCATTCGACCTTGTAGCAAGGGAGATAACCAGTATTCCTAAGCTCCTTTACTGTGCGTGAATGGGATATCGATGTGAGGAGCTTGAATTCCTATAGAACTCGGAAAATTCTACACGACATGTGGAGTTTGAGTTAATGCACTGTATGGAGCTCATACAAGGGACGTTACTCTTGCTGGCATATATTAACACGATTATCTCCCTTAGACCATTAACTGCCATGATCGCGCGGCACGGCTTGCCGCCTTCACAACACAACCGTGCTCGCGGGGTAATCTTTCCATGACGTTTACATAAACGTTACTTCTATCTTGATTCATTGTTCGTTATTTACTTTCGATCATACGACGATATTTTATGTAACATTAACAGGGGAGGTCGTGTAGCCTAGTGGTTAAAGCGTTCGCTCGACACGCCGAAGACCCGGGTTCGATTCCCGACATGGGTACAATGTGTGGAGCCCATTTCTGGTGTCCCCCGCCGTGATATTGCTGGAATTTTGCTGGCATATTGCTAAAAGCGGCGTAAAAACATATTCACACCCTTAACATAAACAGACCTACAGGAAATATCCTTAGAATCGGATACCATGTTTATTATTCAAATATGATCATTGTGGCACCGTGAATATCACATAGTTCCCGATTTACCCAAAAACATTTGTGCATAATCTCGTATCACATTAATGATTAGATCAGAGCTTGTACAGACGACATTGTGTATATGTTATGATTTACCGATCTAAAGCCATGCAGTTAGTAGAACAGGTGTTTGTAACGCAAAATATAGCAGCTACAAGATACATGGTCACACCCAGTGTCAGTACTTTATAAAAGGAATTTTTAAAGGATCCTTTTATATAATACTGACACTGGGTGTGACCATTTATCTTGTACCTGCTACCTTTTGTGTTACAAACACATGCGGTTTGTAGCAGTAGGGGCGTCTTTACTTATTTTGATGTTTCCCATCTCCAAGGTTTTCCCAGGGGGAGGCGTGCGGTCAGAAAAGGAAAAAAATGGTTCATTTTTGCAGAATACCTTCTCAAGGCTTTGACGCTCTATATCAAATATTTGACAATTTAAACATATGGAGAACAAGCTGAACCGAGTTTTATACATGTTGTTGAAAAAGATCTATGCATTGTTTAAAAATGGGATGTTGTTTTGTTTTTTTTAAAATTTGAATCAGAATGTCTTGAATCTTCTTGAAATAAGACAGTAATTCAAAGCACGCACTGGTGTTTATTTCCAATAGCGGTAAGCGCCCGGTAAGTGTTGGCCACCCTATCGGTTTGTATATATTTGTATGAAGTATGAAATGACAAAATATCAAAACGAATAGACTGAATCACTGTACATGTTACTAAGGGGATCAGGCGTATATATGTGGATGAAGGGAAGCTTGAACAGGCTGTTGGTTGGAGTCAAGCTTTTGGTGGTAAAAAGTCGCATTAACTCTCTTATCGCTGACAGAATCACCGAAGGTAGTTGTCGGGGGATTTCAAAAGCGGTAGTAATTAGTAATATCTACATCAACGACCAACCCAGAACTTCACAAACAACAGAGGTGCCTCTGTGGCTGCAACTGTCGCAGGTTTTCATGCCATGTCCATAAAGGTTTGTCAAACATCAAAACAGCTCCCCACTTTTTCTATGAACTATGGTGGAGGCAAATCCTATCGCGTAACACAGAAATAAAAGTGGCAAAGAGTTGCTTCCCTTCCAAGTTTCAACAGTTCCCTTAAAGATCGCGTACTGTCATTTATATTCTCTTTGAAAATGGTAGGGGATCTTGACATTAATATATATGTTAATACCAAGCATTAGAACAAAGATAAGTGCTGGGACAAACATCCCATGCAAGAGCGTTGTCTGGAAAACTTAACACCAAAACACATCCTATTGTTTGCACGTGCTCCACGCAATTGGGTGTCAAGGAAGGTCAATTAATCTCTGTGGACCATTATTTCTGTCAGTCCTATTGATTCTGCTTATCATACAGTTGTGAGTTACTTGATTTTATTCATTGTTTGTGTATGAACAAGCGACGCGGTGTCTGCAAAGCGCCGAGCGTCAAAGAGCTATTGGCATGCTGGAAACTAGCAGAAGTCAGCTTGCAGTGGCCAATACGTTCAATGTTTCACGCTCAGTGATTGGCAGACTTTGGAATAATTACCAACAAGCCCAAAATGTTGACGATCGACCACGTTAAGGGCATCCAAGGTCAACGACAAGAGTACAGGTTCCATGAAATCGAGCTAGAAGGCGAATCAAATTGCTGCAGACTTTCATGAGGCTACTGGAGTACAAGTTACGGAGACGGGCGTTCAGAAATCGTCTATGTGTAGCTCATCTCCATGCTCGACACCCACGTGTTGTGTCGCCCCTTACAGATTTCCATATTGCCAACGGTGTACATAACGTCGAAACTTGGGTCATCGTCGCTGGTCACGTGTCATGTTTCAGATGAGTCACGATTTACGTTTGCACTTCCTTCATAGGCGTCATGGTGTCTCCAGCGACGTCGACATGGTCTTCATGCCAATGTCAACCTGTGACTGTGTGACAAATTTGGCGATGGGTCGGTTATGGTATGGAGAAAACAAACTAACACCCTTTGTTGTCCCGTTTGCAAGGCGTGTAGGTCGACATTTTGTCTTTCAGGACGATAACGCCCGTGTTCACCGTGCACGAAATCGCCAATGCACACCTTCAGCAGCACAACACCCATTTAATGCCAAAAGTGAAAGAATGTTTAACAAATCGTGGCGTTATTACGCACTACTGATCCAAAAACGTCAACTTTATAAATTACCCATCTCACCCTAATCGTCCTTCCGGATTGTTGGCAGTCAAAACATCTACTGTCATATCCAATTCGTTCATTATTATCATGCAAGTTTTACTAGAAACTAATGTCTCTTACAATTTTGTGAATTTTAATTTTTTTCCGAGTATCCCCAATTTTATTAAAGAGTATATATATGCGGCCGTCCCGTGAAGACCCGGGGTAGAATAGGTCTTCAGCAACCCATGCTTGCCGTAAAAGGCGACTATGTTTGTCGTAAGAGGCGACTAACAGAATCGGGTGGTCAGGCTTGCTGACTTGGTTGATGCAAGTCATCGATCCCAATGGATCGATATTCATGATGTCAATCACTGGATTGTCTGTTCCAGACTCGATTATTTACAGACCGCCGTCATATAGGTGGAAAATTGCTGAGTGCGGCGTTAAGAACAAACAAACAAACAATATATGCGGCCGTGGTTTTCAAAACATTGTGAAACTTGATACATTTTGCAAGAAACGACATACGATACCGGTGCTTGGTCAATTCACTGTTACACGCGATGATCTTTTAAATGACATACCATTCACTGCTTCACGAGATTATACACCGTATGACATATTCGTCTATTCACTGCGAAAATTGTTACTACCCCCAAATTCGTTTAATATGTAATGCAGCACTCCTTCGTATGTACTTTATGTCACCAAGGTACAATTATTAAACAAGCGAAATATCTCACGTGTCCTTAAGACTGCAGATCAATCCAAAGCATCGGATTTACTCGAATGATTTTTTTGAGTTTTCATTTGTACATTCTCACGTGTTCTCGGTAAATTATTGTGTGTGGTTAACGGTAAGGAATTCAGGTGAGTTACGTCCCTTGGAGTGTTTACCATCCAAGCTCCTTCCCAGCGCGTGACACCTTCGTTACACTCTCGGTAGTATAGAGAGCTCCGCGAACGGGCTATCGCTGTGAGGAGCTTGGTTTACCATCATGGCGGAGGAAGCACCTGCCGGCGCGAAAGAGAAGGAGCAAGCCGAGCTATTTCGCTACTTGCAGGGGGAAATATCGTATTCACAATATCAGAAATGGAAGGAAATGAAATTGAAAGTTCGTAGTTTCTGCATTTTTAAAAGAGAAAATATGACATTCGAACAATATCTGAGTAATGACTTGACAGTAAATGTTTTTTTGTATTCGTTTTGAATGAGATTTTATGAAACATTGTGTAAAGATCAGATACAGCTCTCAGTGTCAATGTCATTTTGATAACATTCACGATGGCCTTGATCGTAATGAGTGACCTATGTCACATTTGCTTGGACAACAAACTAACTTAAGTCAAGTCCCCTTTTTATGTTCACTCAAACTAGTTCATATTTTCCTTTTTAATATCCTGGGATATATATTTAGCAATATTCCTGGATGTACCTTTGAAACTCTAAATATATGTATTTCATAATCTAAGTTTCTCCAACTCGAAATAATTCTGTAATGCCAAGGCTATGGTTATTGTAGTCCCTGATGCGTTTCATTTAATATCAGTAATCTGATTGCTGGGGGGATATGGATCATACCATATTGCTTTCTAATCACTTCCCTCTAAACATGCTAAATACATACACTTTATTTCATCATGTGTTATAAGTGAACTTTGATGAACATGTTGCATAAGTATAAATGATTGAACACAAAAAACATTACAGCTTATTGAAAATAAGATGGTCTCCTTGAAAACCCCAGCATTGTTTGTTTTCGATCTGGAATGCTTATGCAAAACTAGTCCAAAAATATGCTAGCTTAATACTGATGTTGAGAAATCTAATGTCACGATTATTCACAAATTTAAACTTGAATGTCTTTCTGTTTTTGTCAGACCGGTGGATTGATAGAGGAATCAGAAGATGACATCACCATGTCTGAGCCCCAGCCTGGGACGTCATCGTGTGAGCTGCTCGACTCCCCATCAAAGATGGCTGGCAAGGAGTGGATGGATCTCTTCTCAGCAGCTGAATCTGAGCTCACTGTTCAGTATATCACTGGTACACATGTTTATTGTTTAAAGCACATGTGCTAAAGATGTAGTTTTGTACAAGACATGTCAACTAGACATCTAACAGCTGAATATATTCGAAATCATTTATCATTCACAATATGTTATTGTTACATTTGGATTCATTGTTTTTTTGTTAAAACTATAATTGACTGATGTGACTTATATAAGGGTAATGCTATTTTTCAGGGCATTATCAATATCATTTGCAAAAGCCCAAGTTTTTCCATTAACTGCCCGACGAAGGAGGGCAGTTGAAGAGACTTAGGGCTTCTGCAAATGATAATGCCCTGAAAAATAGCATTATTGTTATTATTGCTAAAATGGATAGAATTTGTTATCAAATAAAAATAAACAATATCGGTTTTCAAACATTTTGTGCAATCAACACGAAAGTCACCATGGTCACTGACCCACGTTTACGAAAATGGAAACATCATAGAACAAACCAGATGACGTCACTATTGAGCGTGGTAATGTCCGTTGTCAAGCAATATGAGGGCACTATCAAGTTACAGTGGCCCGCTTATCTCTGATAACATACAGGCGGTTTCATGATAATTCTATCCATTTTAGCTGTAATAAATGGTAATGATACCATGATTACTGTACATGCTGTTAATTCTTTTATTGTAAAGATTCTTGGGAGCCATTATCCGAGCACAGAAGAATGCATAATCTGTGTTAAATTTCTAAAACATGTAACACTATGTCACACTCATAATATAAGGACTTAGTACCTCACTCTAGAGGGCTAAGCATAACATACAGGCTTAGTACTGTGAACAATATAACCATGTCTTTGTCATGTTTATTATCATCATCATTGTTTGCAAAGATTTGTGAGCAATGGAGAGTCCTTTTTATACCATCCTCTATTAACACATGATTTAATTTTGGGTTTAATTACCCAAAAAAATAAGAGATATTGTATCTTATTTGTCTTGTTTCAATTAAGTTTACCTACATATTAATCTATGGTTCTACACGGTACATTTAACTTGTTACATACAAAATGAAGGTACAGTGATAGTGACAAGGATCATGCTTACCAGTAAAGCCTTCCTCAAGGGCTGCCACCCCTGATGTGGCAATGAAAAAATCTTGAAAAGTGTACATACATATGTATTACAGAAAAAAAAGGTTTGAGATAGCGATTAAAATGTAAACACAATTGCTATTTTCTCTCTTTTCTATCACTTAATGCATTAAATGTAAACATGGTAAATAAGCATACTTGTAAATTAAGGGTAAAATCCATTAATGGTTTATCCAAGTTGTGTTACTTGTATCTAATCCTTTTCATGTAAATAAAATAAGTTTAAACTAGAAGTCTTTTTGACAGTGGTCAACTTTGGGTCCCTCCCCGGAACTCTTTCAAAGAGTCCCTTGTACTCACAGAGAGACCGACCCAGGTAAACGCTAGATACACAAGAAATATGATAGTGAGATATTCCTCCCTTCCAGGTAAGATTACGTTTGAAGAATTCAGCAACAAGATGGAGAACCGACAACAAGAGGCTGGGGAGGAGGATGACGACATTGAGATGACCGGAGTGTCATATGACCCCTCCAAAGTCGTAGTAAAGAAGGAGCCTGTGGAGGGAGAAGAAGAGGAGGAGGAAGAAGAAGCAGTGGGAAGTGATGAGGAAATGATGTATGAAGACGACACCAATGATAAAGATTGGGTGCCTTCAGCATCAGAACACTACTCCGAGTGTGAGTGTCTGGAGGTTCTTAAAGCAGAGATGAGGCTACCAGAACAAAGATCTTCTAATGCAGATTTCCAGGCTTTTATTATTAAATTCCTTTGTTTATGGATCTGCCAACCCAAAATTTCACAAATACGAAATATAATTGAAGTTCCAAGAACAGGGATAAGGGGAAGTGAAGGAACTTAATGAACCATATATATGGCTTTACCTGATGATGATCATGACATGTTATATCCAAGTTTTGACCAACTCCATGGTCTAGTAGATAGAGGGTTTGCGGGAGAGAGGAAGGTCTGTGGTTTGATGTCCTGGCTGTGTCATACCAAAAGATATTAAAAGATGGTACTTTTTGTTTCCTTGCCTTGCACTTGTCATAAAGGGGATAAAACAAGGACTGGCCACCTTTGTTGATACACTGTGGGGTTCCCATGTTAAATTGCAGCAAGATGTGGACAAGCAACCATGTACATGTACACGTTGATATATAAGTGCAATAATCTTAGACGTGACATTAACCCACCTCCTCACACCTGTACCAAGTTTGATGCCAGGATGTTTTGGGCATTAAGCCAGATATTTCAGTGATACTCTCATCTTGCAGCAAGCACTACTCCGACAACGAAAAAGGAGAAAATGAAAAAGAAGAAGAAACTACCTTTGCAAAAAGAAAAGAAAAAAAGGGTATGTGAGAAATGCGCCCACGACTACATATATGTGTCACAGGTTGAAGTCAGAATGTTCACTTTCTTTTTTGAAAGACTGAGAGTATTTCCTGATGCAGGCCATTACTGAAACCCAAGTACAGTGTCATATCTTGTGTATTATATAGTGGATAGTGTTGTCAATAAGATACGCCAATCCAACAAACTTGGTATTACAACCCGATAAATATGCCGATGAGGTCGCCAATACACCAATCAATGTCAGTTTATTCAGTAATCACTTGCATAACAGTCCCTTTTAGTTTTATGTGGGTTTTCCAATGTGTGGATGTGGTGAAACAAGTAGGCACTGTATTATATATTTTATTAATTATTAGAATGACACACAATAAAGGGATTGTTTAAATACCCTCGTGTGTTATATATTAGGTTTCTAAAATATATATTCTCACCAAGACTTGCATGGTGCAATATATTTTTAATATATGAAACACACTCAGCTTATAATCACTGAATGTAGTGAATGCCAATTTGATAGGGTGAGAAGTGGCCATATGACAGCCATGTCGACTTAGGTCAAGAATTCCATGTGTATTTTTAGCACCACCCAAATTGTTTTTGGAAACAAAGTCTTCAGTCAAGTTATCAGAAGGGAATAGGCATTAGCATCTTCCTGAGGCAAGGGAGTTAACTGACTATAAAAGTTCAGTTTCAATTATGAAGTTACATTTTGGCCGGACTGACATCAAAATCGTGCAACGAAATCAACATCCAGTTCGTAAACTGCCTAAAGATTTTGGTTGTTTGCAGTGTTTGCAAAGCATGTGTACCGTGAAATTGGCTTCAACAAATATTTTTCAAATCCTTTGCTGTTTTGGTCAAGGTGCTCACGTGATTTGATGCACTTCCCGAAAAAAGACCTGTTTTATTACCTTATAGATCTTGATTATTGATCAGATCTTTTTCACTAGGTGCATTTTGTTTTGTTTGATATGAGAGGTGGAATCTGATTGGTCCTCGTGTTAAATAGGCCTACACTGTGATTGGTGTGTTGGTTTCCTGTTTCAGACACGAAGAATGAGGAAGAACGAGGTGCCGAAACATCTGCAGGGCCTGATGGGAGAGGCCAACCTGAGATTTGCCCGTGGGGAGAAGGAGGAGGCCATCAAGATGTGCATGGAGATTATACGATTGGGTTCGTACGTCAAATCAATCTGTCCCAACGTGTAGTTGTCAGTCACATTGATATTGTTGTCAGCTGTATCACGGGAGCTTTAGTAGATAGTCTTTATTGAAAAGTCCTTCAAAGCCTATGGAAATGTATAATGTGCCTTGAAAGGCCTTTAATGTAATAAATTTGAATCGAATGGCCCGAAGCATACTCCAATTTCGCATGATGGTGTTTGTGAGGTTTTTGATTATATATGTGTGGCTATGTGTGACACATCTGCTGCCAGTCACCAAGAATGGACATCAACCGCTGTACCTGTGTTGGGAATCGAATCCTGGCGTGATGAGCGAATGTTTAAAGTTTAACCACTAGGCTACCACACTGCCCCTGTAAACACAATGTACAACTGTGGTTAACAGGCACTTTCCGTTTTGTCTTCAGCCCCAAACGCCTACCTGCCTTTCCAGACACTGGGCATGATCTATGAGGAGATGGAGCAGCTGGAGAAGGCCATGCAGGTTGATATGAGAGCTCTGACAGTAACACATGTAGCTCTGACAGTAACACATGTAGCTCTGACAGTAACATGAAGCTCTGACAACAACACATGTAGCTCTGACAGTAACATGTAGCTCTGACAGTAACATGTAGCTCTGACAGCAACATGTAGCTCTGACAGCAACATGTAGCTCTGACAGCAACATGTAGCTCTGACAGTAACATGTAGCTCTGACAACTCATGTAGCTCTGACAGAAACATGTAGCTCTGACAAAAACATGTAGCTCTGACAGAAACATGTAGTTCTGACAGAAACATGTAGCTCTGACAATAACACATGTAGCTCTGACAGAAACATGTAGCTCTGACAGAAACATGTAGTTCTGACAGAAACATGTAGCTCTGACAATAACACATGTAGCTCTGACAATAACACATGTAGCTCTGACAATAACACATGTAGCTCTGACAGTAACATGTAGCTCTGACAATAACATGTAGCTCTGACAATAACACATGTAGCTCTGACAGTAACATGTAGCTCTGACAATAACATGTAGCTCTGACAATAACATGTAGCTCTGACAATAACACATGTAGCTCTGACAATAGCACATGTAGCTCTGACAGTTACATGTAGCTCTGACAATAACATGTAGCTCTGACAATAACACATGTAGCTCTGACAGTTACATGTAGCTCTGACAGTAACATGTAGCTCTGACAATAACACATGTAGCTCTGACAGTTACATGTAGCTCTGACAATAACATGTAGCTCTGACAGTAACATGTAGCTCTGACAATAACATGTAGCTCTGACAATAACATGTAGCTCTGACAATAACACATGTAGCTCTGACAGTTACATGTAGCTCTGACAGTAACATGTAGCTCTGACAATAACACATGTAGCTCTGACAATAACATGTAGCTCTGACAGTAACATGTAGCTCTGACAATAACACATGTAGCTCTGACAGTTACATGTAGCTCTGACAGAAACATGTAGCTCTGACAGTAGCACATGTAGCTCTGACAGAAACATGTAGCTCTGACAATAACATGTAGCTCTGACAATAACACATGTAGTTCTGACAGAAACATGTAGCTCTGACAATAACATGTAGCTCTGACAATAACACATGTAGCTCTGACAATAACATGTAGCTCTGACAATAACATGTAGCTCTGACAATAACATGTAGCTCTGACTATAACACATGTAGCTCTGACAATAACATGTAGCTCTGACAATAACATGTAGCTCTGACAATAACACATGTAGCTCTGACAGCAACATGTAGCTCTGATAGTAACATGTAGCTCTGACAATAACACATGTAGCTCTGACAGAAACATGTAGCTCTGACAGTAACCTCGAGCTCTGACAGTTACATGTAGCTCTGACAGAAACATGTAGCTCTGACAGTAACCTCGAGCTCTGACAGAAACATGTAGCTCTGACAGAAACATGTAGCTCTGACAGAAACACATGTAGTTCTGACAATAACACATGTAGCTTTGACAGTAACATGTAGCTCTGACAGTAATATAAGTAGCTCTAGCTGACAGTAACACATTTAGCTCTGACAGTACATGTAGCTCTAGCTGACATTAACACATGTAGCTCTGACAGTAACACATGTAGCTCTGACAGTAACATGTAGCTAACAGAAACACATGTAGCTCTGACAGAAACACATGTATCTTTGACAGTAACATGTAGCTAACAGAAACTAATGTAGCTCTGACAGTAACACATTTAGCTTAAACAGTAACATATGTAAATCTGACAGTAACATATGTAGCTCTGACAGTAACACATGTAACTCTGACAGTACCACATGTGGTGAGTGAGTGAGTGAGTATGGTTTTACGCTGCTTTTAGCAATATTCCAGCAATATCACAGCAGGGGACACCAGAAATTGGCTTCACACATTGTACCCATGTTGGGCAAACGCTTCAACCACCAGGCTACCCGACCGCCCAGTAACGCATGTAACTCTAACAGTAGTACTGACAGTAACATATAGCTCTGACACTTACATTATGACAGGAACGATCTTTCACATTTAAATCCTCTTTACACCTTGGTCCAGGAATAACATCTTTATGTTAAGAACCAAGGCGACAAGTTGGATCTGACAGACAAGGCAGTAATGCCTTGTTTTAAAGTCATGAATTCATGGGTTAGTTGAAAATGTCTCATGAATGTTTTTTTTATTTAAGTTTTTCCTGATCGCTGCTCATCTGCGTCCTGACGACAGTGAGGAGTGGGTGAGACTGGCAGAACTCTCACTGGAGCAGAACAACACCAAACAGGCAGTGCTCTGCTTCAACAAGGGTGAGATGAGATGAAGGACAACAGACAACTATCCTCAGGCACCACTTGGAAATAATTTGTGGGACAAAGTAGACACAGCTTATGGATAACAACTTCTTTATTTACTGTAAAGGAGATGTTGTGGTATAGATACTTAAACTGTGGTCAAGCAAACGTCGCCTCTACAATAAATAAAAAAGTTTTTATCCATAAATAGATACTTATACCGTTGTCAAGCAAACATCGCTTTTATAACAGATAAAGAAAATGTTATCCATGAATAGATGCTTATACCGTTGTCAAGCAAACATCGCTTTTACAATAAATAAAGAAGTTGTTATCCATAAGTTGTGTCAACTTCTAAGTAATGCCTATCAAACAATTCAGTTTGTGTGAATGATGTCCTCTTCTCAGTGTTGAAAAGGTATACTACAGGAGTTAAGCAGAAATAAATTGTTTTCATAAATCACTTCCCTGCTTCATAATGTCCATGTACCTCAACAGCACAATTCATTGCTCGTGCAATCAGCCATTGGAAAAATTAAATTTGTTCGTTGTTCCTTCGTTCCTTCGTTCGTTGTAAAAAAGAATGTGAAAGAATCATCCAACTTTGAATGACTGTTCAAAGAGTTACCTCCCTTCCCATATGAATCTTCAGATATATTTTTTTAGTGAGGTCATTATAACCCATGTATGTTCCTGTCTCCAGCTGTCAGGTATGCCCCGGACAACTCGGACTGCATCTGGCAGCGGAGTCACCTGTACGAACAGCTCGGGGAACACAAGAAGGCCTTGGAGGGATACCAGCTCATCCTCAAACTCCTCCCCGACGATGATGGAGAGAAGTATCTGCAGCTTGCCAGGAACATCACCAAGGTAACGGGTCCCGATTGTTATCAGCTTTACATCCAGGAAAAATATGAATCACCAAGTTGATTGTTATAGATTTCGGTTACGGAATAGACCAACAGGAACCAGAGTTTTTTTCCCTGGCCTTTCTTCATCTCTTTTGAAATTATCCCCCAGGGTCACCTCTTTCTGCAGATACCATACTGTTGGGGATTTTCAATATTGGTCTTGAAGTTTAAGGGGTAACTGATAAACAGTTAAAAATCACTGAAAGTTTGGATTTTTTCATTACCTCAAATGGCTGTTTTCGGCTGTTTTTTTATTCTATTTTAGTGACTCTATCGAATGCACATTTCAAAAAGCTTTCCATATTAAAACAAATGGTATGGTTTCCAAAAGGGATCACATGACCAGCCCTTAATGCCTTATGATCAGAAATTATGTTTGATCCTGGTTTCTATGATATTATTTAGTTTGGGTGTTGGCCAATACCAAGTAATTTTTGGTAAAACTACAAAGTCATAAAAAAGAATGACTGAACTTTTCATATAGTAATTGACCATTTGCATGGTAAAGGTTGCCAAGTGGTCTCAGGTGCTGATCTGTGCAGCTCAAGGATCTGCTTGTGGGTTCAAATCCCAGGTTCACCCCGATTATGGTCACTTAATGTACATGTCCTGTGTCACTTAATGTACATGTCCTGTGTCACTTAAAGTACATGTCCTGTGTCACTTAAAGTACATGTCCTGTGTCACTTAAAGTACATGTCCTGTGTCACTTAATGTACATGTCCTGTGTCACTTAAAGTACATGTCCTGTGTCACTTAATGTACATGTCCTGTGTCACTTAAAGTACATGTCCTGTGTCACTTAAATTACATGTCCTGTGTCACTTAATGTACATGTTCTGTGACACTTAAAGTACATGTCCTGTGTCACTTAAAATACATGTCCTGTGTCACTTAATGTACATGTCCTGTGTCACTTAAAGTACATGTCCTGTGTCACTTAATGTACATGTCCTGTGTCACTTAAAATACATGTCCTGTGTCACTTAAAGTACATGTCCTGTGTCACTTAATGTACATGTCCTGTGTCACTTAATGTACATGTCCTGTGTCACTTAATGTACATGTCCTGTGTCACTTAAAGTACATGTCCTGTGTCACTTAAAGTACATGTTCTGTGTCACTTAATGTACATGTCCTGTGTCACTTAATGTACATGTCCTGTGTCACTTAATGTACATGTCCTGTGTCACTTAAAGTACATGTCCTGTGTCACTAAATGTACATGTCCTGTGTCACTTAAAGTACATGTCCTGTGTCACTTAAAGTACATGTTCTGTGTCACTTAATGTACATGTCCTGTGTCACTTAATGTACATGTCCTGTGTCACTTAATGTACATGTCCTGTGTCACTTAATGTACATGTCCTGTGTCACTTAATGTACATGTCCTGTGTCACTTAAAGTACATGTCCTGTGTCACTTAAATTACATGTCCTGTGTCACTTAATGTACATGTTCTGTGACACTTAAAGTACATGTCCTGTGTCACTTAAAATACATGTCCTGTGTCACTTAATGTACATGTCCTGTGTCACTTAAAGTACATGTCCTGTGTCACTTAATGTACATGTCCTGTGTCACTTAATGTACATGTCCTGTGTCACTTAAAGTACATGTCCTGTGTCACTTAAAGTACATGTCCTGTGTCACTTAAAGTACATGTCCTGTGTCACTTAATGTACATGTCCTGTGTCACTTAAAGTACATGTCCTGTGTCACTTACTATACATGTCCTGTGTCACTTACTGTACATGTCCTGTGTCACTTAAAGTACATGTCCTGTGTCACTTAAAGTACATGTTCTGTGTCACTTACTGTACATGTCCTGTGTCACTTAAAGTACATGTCCTGTGTCACTTAAAGTACATGTCCTGTGTCACTTAAAGTACATGTCCTATGTCACTTTTCGTCCCTCATAAAGCTTGCTCCACGGAGCACAACTGAAAAACTGTTCAAACGTAACAGTAGATCCAACTCTCTCATGTCAGAGTTTCAGTAGAGTGGGCATTCTGATGCTTGTATGCTGATCGTTTCTTCCAGAGTTTCCACGAGATTGGAGAGACTATGCTGTCCATCAACACCATGAAGAATGCTCTCCACAAACACCCCAATCTCATAACATCAGAAGGTAAGTCTGATCTGATTTTAGACTAGGCCGCTAAGACAGCCATATTGGAAATGTGAGTTCTGTGTGTATCAGTATCAAATTTGACATGCAGTCAGTATGATGTAAATGATGTATGTAGAATAACATTCCCATTTTGATTTTGCAAATATTGATATTTTACCAAACTACGACCTCTGACCTTCAGCTACCCGGTTTATCCAATGTTAATGTAGTTTCGATACTCCTCTGTGTCTTCGGGATTGATGAAGCTGAAATTTCGCGTAATGATTATCATGATTATAGCAATGGTGTCTCTAAAATATGCTCATAGAATTTTTATCCAATTTTATAGATGGCAGCCATGTTGAACGTACTATAGGTGTAGCGTCAGGTAGCAGCATTCCCGTTTACCGGTATTTACCAGTTTTTTACTGGTTTAATTAGACTTGGACCAGTAATTAATGTGTTTACCAGTCCCTGTGGACCAGCAAATAAAGTACCTTATGAATCTTTGTTGTTGAACAAAACATCGGTGATATTTGTATGAGTACATTTTTCGAACAAAGTCAGCTTGTCTGTTACCATCAGCGTTTCCCCTTGTCTATTTCTAAGTTAAATATCCATTTGTAGCGACTTTGTCTCAAAATATTGAAAAAAAAGAGAAATTTGTGACTGAAGTTTGTGTGAATGACATATAGATCAAACTAAGTTACTTCAGAGATAACGTCTTTGCACTGAACATGATGTTGAAAGAAATTTTTATGACTCTAGTTAATGTGTCATGGCTGGTGGGTATTGCAACACACAGCCTTCCAATTGTGGGTGTTCTCCACTTGTTTTGAGTGGTATACAATTGATTTCACTGAGATTCAAGCTACCCTGACTTGCCCTGTTTCCAGATGTCAACCTTCTGCTGGAGCTTCAGATGGCAGAAAGGTTGTTTCTGGAGTCGATAGAGGTACGTCCATAGCATCCTTAATTATGTTGCCCATTGTCATTTAACAGCCTTATTAATGAAACTGAAACATCTATAGCCAATTTCTTTTAATACAATAAATCAAAGATGTAGGTCACTGGTACCTGTACATTCAGAATTAGATTTTGAATTAGTGTTATTTTAACGTCACAAGACAAATTGGACACAAGATTGTCTCCCAGAAATAGCGAGGAAGTGATGGTTCAATACCAAGTGGTTTCGGGATATACTGGGGTCAGAGTTTTAATTTTGATTTTTGTTCCAGATTTTTTAACACACCAAACAATTCCTAGTGTGTTGGTTCTGCTATGGCACCTAGTCATGGTCTCCATGGTAACGGGTCTCTCTTACATCAAGCTGCATTTTTCTTTGATAGAGTTAAAGATTTGTAACTTTCTAAAGAAATAAGAAATAAATTTCTCCCTCCCTACCCAGTCAGTTTTGAAAATGTTTATGAGAATGTTTTTTTTTAATTGGTGTTAAGTTGTGTTGTTAAGGAGTCTGGTGCAGAAAGATCCTAAGTACCCAATACTTGTCTTTAATAGTTGTAATGTGTGACCTGCCTGCATACATTGATGCTCATGTTATCGACCACTGGTTTGACTTGCTTATTTACGGGCCACCATGAATGTCCTCACTGTATGTTTTATTGTGTGTAGGTGTTGGTCAGTCACTGTGGTGTGGAGGTCTTGATGCCTAACACTGTTGTGTGGAACTCGGAGAGCCCAGAGACCCCTGTTGACCCTCAAGACAAAGCTAAATCACCACTCAGGTAAAACTTCACTTCTTTACATCAGCTACTTAATGGTGTGGATGTTGCTGCTTCAGATTGTGTGAAGATGGTGTTAATGATGTACTAGCTTAGGGGGCATGGGTGGCCCATTTGACCCAAAATAAGACAATGATAAATTATTAACCCACCAGTGGAAGCTATTAATAGTCAGCATATTGTGTTATACTTAACAACAAATGATTTATCTTGCCATTGATGTATTGTCTTCACCTGACAATGTCAATACTTGCATCCATCATTGCCCCATTGTGTTGAACTGATCCCAGTCTGACCTCTGTTGGATGAAAATGCTCACTGTTGGTTTTCTCCGCAGTTGTTTTACCCCTGACCTCCTGCCGATTGATCTCCGAGTGAAACTCATTATCTGCCTGGTCAACCTCAACTACGTCAAAGTGGCCAAGGTATGGGAATGTGTTATGACAATATGAAAAAATGTCTGACACCTTCAGGGATAATTCTAGGGTGGGGCCTTGTGCTTTAAGCCCCTAAATTTGAAAAAAGGCCCACATTTTCAAATTCAATGGGGCATTTTAACATTGTACAGTATGGGCAAGTGTGGTTGTACCTCTGAAATATTTGAAATTTTCACATAAAGAGCCCATGTCACTTCCTAGAGTGAACCCTGCACCTTATGGACACGTATTGTAAGCAATCTCATGTACACTGCAGACAGTGCATGTTATTACACTCAGACCACCTGGATATTAGTACTGTATTTGTAAGTCGGTCACCGTCTCAATTTGTCCTGGTATTTTTTTTGTGTTTAAATTTCAAATCCAGTTTTGTTTTCTAGTCTCTTTAAACTTGAGCTTTATTTCTTAAAATAAACAACAAAATATTAACAGAAAGGTGTTCAAAAACACTATGATATATTATTTTATTTCTTTTGAAAAAAGCTAGCAAAGGTTGAAACTTCTGGATGCATTTGAAACCTTTAGACGATTGAGTGGTGGTGCTAATAACATGTTGCTGCTGCATGGTGTGTGTAGATGGTGTTAGTGACGTGTATGTTGCTGCTGCAGGGTGTGTAGATGGTGTTAGTGACGTGTATGTTGCTGCTGCAAGGTGTGTGTAGATGGTGTTAGTGACGTGTATGTTGCTGCTGCAGGGCATGTGTAGATGGTGTTAGTGACGTGTATGTTGCTGCTGCAGGGTGTGTAGATTGTGTTAGTGACGTGTATGTTGCTGCTGCAGGGTGTGTAGATGGTGTTAGTGACGTGTATGTTGCCTCTGCAGGGTGTGTAGATGGTGTTAGTGATGTGTATGTTGCTGCCGCAGGGTATGTGTAGATGGTGTTAGTGACGTGTATGTTGCTGCTGCAGGACGTGTGTAGATGGTGTTAGTGACGTGTATGTTGCTGCTGCAGGGTGTGTAGATGGTGTTAGTGACGTGTATGTTGCTGCTGCAGGGCATGTGTAGATGGTGTTAGTGTCGTGTATGTTGCTGCTGCAGGGTGTGTGTAGATGGTGTTAGTGACGTGTATGTTGCTGCCGCAGGGCATGTGTAGATGGTGTTAGTGACGTGTATGTTGCTGCTGCAGGGCATGTGTAGATGGTGTTAGTGACGTGTATGTTGCTGCTGCAGGGTGTGTGTAGATGGTGTTAGTGATGTGTATGTTGCTGCTGCAGGGCATGTGTAGATGGTGTTAGTGACGTGTATGTTGCTGCTGCAGGGCATGTGTAGATGGTGTTAGTGTCGTGTATGTTGCTGCTGCAGGGTGTGTGTAGATGGTGTTAGTGACGTGTATGTTGCTGCTGCAGCGTGTGTAGATGGTGTTAGTGACGTGTATGTTGCTGCTGCAGGGTGTGTAGATGGTGTTAGTGACGTGTATGTTGCTGCTGCAGGGTGTGTAGATGGTGTTAGTGACGTGTATGTTGCTGCTGCAGCGTGTGTAGATGGTGTTAGTGACGTGTATGTTGCTGCTGCAGGGTGTGTGTAGATGGTGTTAGTGACGTGTATGTTGCTGCTGCAGGGCATGTGTAGATGGTGTTAGTGACGTGTATGTTGCTGCTGCAGGGCATGTGTAGATGGTGTTAGTGATGTGTATGTTGCTGCTGCAGGGCATGTGTAGATGGTGTTAGTGAGGTGTATGTTGCTGCTGCAGGGCATGTGTAGATGGTGTTAGTGACGTGTATGTTGCTGCTGCAGGGTGTGTAGATGGTGTTAGTGTCGTGTATGTTGCTACTGCAGGGTGTGTAGATGGTGTTAGTGACGTGTATGTTGCTGCTGCAGGGCATGTGTAGATGGTGTTAGTGACGTGTATGTTGCTGCTGCAGGGTGTGTAGATGGTGTTAGTGACGTGTATGTTGCTGCTGCAGGGTGTGTGTTGATGGTGTTAGTGACGTGTATGTTGCTGCTGCAGGGTGTGTAGATGGTGTTAGTGACGTGTATGTTGCTGCTGCAGGGCATGTGTAGATGGTGTTAGTGTCGTGTATGTTGCTGCTGCAGGGTGTGTGTAGATGGTGTTAGTGACGTGTATGTTGCTGCCGCAGGGCATGTGTAGATGGTGTTAGTGACGTGTATGTTGCTGCTGCAGGGCATGTGTAGATGGTGTTAGTGACGTGTATGTTGCTGCTGCAGGGTGTGTGTAGATGGTGTTAGTGATGTGTATGTTGCTGCTGCAGGGCATGTGTAGATGGTGTTAGTGACGTGTATGTTGCTGCTGCAGGGCATGTGTAGATGGTGTTAGTGTCGTGTATGTTGCTGCTGCAGGGTGTGTGTAGATGGTGTTAGTGACGTGTATGTTGCTGCTGCAGCGTGTGTAGATGGTGTTAGTGACGTGTATGTTGCTGCTGCAGGGTGTGTAGATGGTGTTAGTGACGTGTATGTTGCTGCTGCAGGGTGTGTAGATGGTGTTAGTGACGTGTATGTTGCTGCTGCAGCGTGTGTAGATGGTGTTAGTGACGTGTATGTTGCTGCTGCAGGGTGTGTGTAGATGGTGTTAGTGACGTGTATGTTGCTGCTGCAGGGCATGTGTAGATGGTGTTAGTGACGTGTATGTTGCTGCTGCAGGGCATGTGTAGATGGTGTTAGTGATGTGTATGTTGCTGCTGCAGGGTGTGTAGATGGTGTTAGTGACGTGTATGTTGCTGCTGCAGGGTTTGTGTAGATGGTGTTAGTGACGTGTATGTTGCTGCTGCAGGGCATGTGTAGATGGTGTTAGTGACATGTATGTTGCTGCTGCAGGGTGTGTAGATGGTGTTAGTGACGTGTATGTTGCTGCTGCAGGGCATGTGTAGATGGTGTTAGTGACGTGTATGTTGCTGCTGCAGGGTGTGTAGATGGTGTTAGTGACGTGTATGTTGCTGCTGCAGGGTTTGTGTAGATGGTGTTAGTGACGTGTATGTTGCTGCTGCAGGGTGTGTGTAGATGGTGTTAGTGACGTTTATGTTGCTGCTGCAGGGCATGTGTAGATGGTGTTAGTGACGTGTATGTTGCTGCTGCAGGGCATGTGTAGATGGTGTTAGTGACGTGTATGTTGCTGCTGCAGGGTGTGTGTAGATGGTGTTAGTGACGTGTATGTTGCTGCTGCAGGGCATGTGTAGATGGTGTTAGTGACGTGTATGTTGCTGCTGCAGGGTTTGTGTAGATGGTGTTAGTGACGTGTATGTTGCTGCTGCAGGGTGTGTGTAGATGGTGTTAGTGACGTGTATGTTGCTGCTGCAGGGCATGTGTAGATGGTGTTAGTGACGTGTATGTTGCTGCTGCAGGGCATGTGTAGATGGTGTTAGTGATGTGTATGTTGCTGCTGCAGGGCATGTGTAGATGGTGTTAGTGTCGTGTATGTTGCTGCTGCAGGGCATGTGTAGATGGTGTTAGTGACGTGTATGTTGCTGCTGCAGGGTGTGTAGATGGTGTTAGTGTCGTGTATGTTGCTACTGCAGGGTGTGTAGATGGTGTTAGTGACGTGTATGTTGCTGCTGCAGGGCATGTGTAGATGGTGTTAGTGACGTGTATGTTGCTGCTGCAGGGTGTGTAGATGGTGTTAGTGACGTGTATGTTGCTGCTGCAGGGTTTGTGTAGATGGTGTTAGTGACGTGTATGTTGCTGCTGCAGGGTGTGTGTAGATGGTGTTAGTGACGTTTATGTTGCTGCTGCAGGGCATGTGTAGATGGTGTTAGTGACGTGTATGTTGCTGCTGCAGGGTGTGTGTAGATGGTGTTAGTGACGTGTATGTTGCTGCTGCAGGGTGTGTGTAGATGGTGTTAGTGACGTGTATGTTGCTGCTGCAGGGCATGTGTAGATGGTGTTAGTGACGTGTATGTTGCTGCTGCAGGGTTTGTGTAGATGGTGTTAGTGACGTGTATGTTGCTGCTGCAGGGTGTGTGTAGATGGTGTTAGTGACGTGTATGTTGCTGCTGCAGGGCATGTGTAGATGGTGTTAGTGACGTGTATGTTGCTGCTGCAGGGCATGTGTAGATGGTGTTAGTGATGTGTATGTTGCTGCTGCAGGGCATGTGTAGATGGTGTTAGTGTCGTGTATGTTGCTGCTGCAGGGCATGTGTAGATGGTGTTAGTGACGTGTATGTTGCTGCTGCAGGGTGTGTAGATGGTGTTAGTGTCGTGTATGTTGCTACTGCAGGGTGTGTAGATGGTGTTAGTGACGTGTATGTTGCTGCTGCAGGGCATGTGTAGATGGTGTTAGTGACGTGTATGTTGCTGCTGCAGGGTGTGTAGATGGTGTTAGTGACGTGTATGTTGCTGCTGCAGGGTTTGTGTAGATGGTGTTAGTGACGTGTATGTTGCTGCTGCAGGGTGTGTGTAGATGGTGTTAGTGACGTGTATGTTGCTGCTGCAGGGCATGTGTAGATGGTGTTAGTGACATGTATGTTGCTGCTGCAGGGTGTGTAGATGGTGTTAGTGACGTGTATGTTGCTGCTGCAGGGTGTGTGTTGATGGTGTTAGTGACGTGTATGTTGCTGCTGCAGGGTGTGTAGATGGTGTAAGTGACGTGTATGTTGCTGCTGCAGGGTGTGTGTTGATGGTGTTAGTGACGTGTATGTTGCTGCTGCAGGGTGTGTAGATGGTGTTAGTGACGTGTATGTTGCTGCTGCAGGGCGTGTGTAGATGGTGTTAGTGACGTGTATGTTGCTGCTGCAGGGTGTGTGTAGATGGTGTTAGTGATATGTATTTTGCTGCTGCAGGGCATGTGTAGATGGTGTTAGTGACGTGTATGTTGCTGCTGCAGGGTGTGTAGATGGTGTTAGTGATGTGTATGTTGCTGCTGCAGGGTATGTGTTGATGGTGTTAGTGACGTGTATGTTGCTGCTGCAGGGCGTGTGTCATCCCCTGCTAGTGGAGGATGTAGAGGAGACTGGTGATCTCTACTTTGATGTTGCTGAAGCCTACATGGAGAACGGCCATTACACAGAAGCCAAACCAATACTGAAAACACTGGTCAGCTCAGAACACTTCAACAAGGTATGTGTGATGATATGGACACACTGTGACATGGCTGATTGTAAGCTCAATTGTTATTAAACTACAGGGCTCATGGGCAGCCTTGTGGTTTTAAGACACTGAAAGTCACTATACAGAGTTGTATCCCTTACCTGTGCCAGGATCCCAGATTCAAAGTAGAATACATTCTCACAAAAAGCAAATCTTTTGCTTCCAAAATATCTCTTTGCATAAAGGTCTCTTCAATTATCACCTGAGTGAACTTTGAGCACCAAGCCCAAATGAAGGATGCATGTGTTCTTCACAAATTCAATGTTAGCTTTCATTACTGTAGCCTCATGATTTGTAAATTTATTGACAAAAGAAAAACAAGCTCTGTTTGAGTGAAGACGTGATTGGCACTTCAGATAAACAGCTTCTGTATTTTATGAAGATGCCAGTCTGTTGTCGATTATAGTCAGATATTTCAAATATGCTGCTCTGAATGCTTCGAGAACTAATGAGCTATGATTCTGATTGGCTGATCAGAAAAACTGATGATGAATAAGAAACTGATCACAGTTACTCTTGCTCTGAGCAGTCAGTCGTAGTACCCTGCACAGACTACACAGTGCCTTGTGTGTTCATGTAGGCGGCTGTGTGGCTGAAGTATGGGGAGTGCCTCAACTCCCTGGGGGAGCTGCAGGGGGCGGTGGAGGCCTACACCAAGTGTGTAGAGAAGGCACCAGGACACTTTGGGGCCAGGGTGTCGCTGTCCGCTCTGCAGCAGCAGCTGGGCAAACATGAAGAGGCTCTACAGGTACTCTCCAGAGGTAGGTGCCTTGTCAGATATGTCTGTAGCCAGTTCTCTGTAATTTAGATTGCTGGACATGGTTTGATGGGGATGTGAATAGGATGAGTTAAAGTGCATACCTTGTCTAAGATCATCAAATTCTGTCCTTGGAGACTAAATGCCCAAGGAGTACAGTGTTATGATGTTCCATGGTGAACCGAGAACTACTTTGTTGTGTGTAATCTTTAAAACAAGAAAAGGTTTGCAGCAATCATTATGTTCAGCGGCAAATGTTTTTCATGGTAAAACTGGAAATGTGGTATTTGATATCTGTTACTTAACACTGAGCTGAAATCTCATTTTTAACCAGACTGAGTATTATTGTAGCAACACAGGGACGAGTGTTGTAGTGTCACCTGACCCAGTGTTGTAGTGATGCCTGACCCAGTGTTGTAGTGACACCTGGCCAAGTGTTGTAGTGACGCCTGACCCAGTGTTGTAGTGACACCTGGCCCAGTATTGTAGTGTCACCTGACCCAGTGTTGTAGTGATGCCTGACCCAGTGTTGTAGTGACACCTGGCCAAGTGTTGTAGTGACGCCTGACCCAGTGTTGTAGTGACACCTGGCCCAGTATTGTAGTAACACCTGACCCAGTGTTGTAGTGACACCTGACCCAGTGTTGTAGTGACACCTGGCCCAGTATTGTAGTAACACCTGACCCAGTGTTGTAGTGACGCCTGACCCTGTGTTGTAGTGACACCTGGCCCAGTATTGTAGTAACACCTGACCCAGTGTTGTAGTGACACCTGACCCAGTGTTGTAGTGACACCTGGCCCAGTATTGTAGTAACACCTGACCCAGTGTTGTAGTGACGCCTGACCCAGTGTTGTAGTGACACCTGACTCAGTGTTATGACTGACAGTGTTGTGACACCTGAACCAGTGTTTTGACTGACCTGTATGTTCCTCAGATGAGCAGGACGACCTGTCTGAGGATGACCAGATGCTGCTGTTACACAAGTGCCACCTGCTGCACTCCCAGAACAAGGTGGTGGAGTTCCACACCTGCTGCCAGAAACTTCTCTTCAGCAGCTTCCTGTCCCGCTGTAATGCCAACTTCATGAAAAGTAAGTCAAATTGTTAGGATGAATAAGTCACTGTCCAGTAAGTTGTTCCTGAAGAGTAGGTCACAGTCTCCTGTCTGCAGAGAGTAAGTCACAGTCTCCTGTCTGCTGAGAGTCGATCACAGTCACATGGTTATGATGAATAAGTCACTGTCCAGTAAGATGTTCCTGAAGAGTAAGTCACAGTCTCCTGTCTGCTGAGAGTAGATCACAGTCTCCTGTCTGCTGAGTGTAAGTCACAGTCTCCTGTCTGCTGAGTGTAAGTCACAGTCTCCTGTCTGCTGAGTGTAAGTCACAGTCTCCTGTCTGCAGAGAGTAAGTCACATGGTTAGGAGGAATAAGTCACTGTCCAGTAAGATGTTCCTGAAGAGTAAGTCACAGTCTCCTGTCTGCTGAGAGTAAGTCACAGTCTCCTGTCTGCTGAGTGTAAGTCACAGTCTCCTGTCTGCTGAGTGTAAGTCACAGTCTCCTGTCTGCTGAGTGTAAGTCACAGTCTCCTGTCTGCAGAGAGTAAGTCACATGGTTAGGAGGAATAAGTCACTGTCCAGTAAGATGTTCCTGAAGAGTAAGTCACAGTCTCCTGTCTGCTGAGAGTAAGTCACAATCTCCTGTCTGCAGAGAGTAGATCACAGTCTCCTGTCTGCTGAGTGTAAGTCACAGTCTCCTGTCTGCTGAGTGTAAGTCACAGTCTCCTGTCTGCTGAGTGTAAGTCACAGTCTCCTGTCTGCTGAGTGTAAGTCACAGTCTCCTGTCTGCAGAGAGTAAGTCACAAGGTTAGGAGGAATAAGTCACTGTCCAGTAAGATGTTCCTGAAGAGTAAGTCACAGTCTCCTGTCTGCTGAGAGTAAGTCACAGTCTCCTGTCTGCAGAGAGTAAGTCACAGTCTCCTGTCTGCAGAGTGTAAGTCACAGTCTCCTGTCTGCAGAGTGTAAGTCACAGTCTCCTGTCTGCTGAGTGTAAGTCACAGTCTCCTGTCTGCAGAGAGTAAGTCACAGTCTCCTGTCTGCAGAGAGTAAGTCACAGTCTCCTGTCTGCAGAGAGTAAGTCACAGTCTCCTGTCTGCTGAGAGTAAGTCACAGTCTCCTGTCTGCAGAGAGTAAGTCACAGTCTCCTGTCTGCAGAGAGTAAGTCACAGTCTCCTGTCTGCTGAGAGTAAGTCACAGTCTCCTGTCTGCAGAGAGTAAGTCACAGTCTCCTGTCTGCTGAGAGTAAGTCACAGTCTCCTGTCTGCAGAGAGTAAGTCACAGTCTCCTGTCTGCTGAGAGTAAGTCACAGTCTCCTGTCTGCAGAGAGTAAGTCACAGTCTCCTGTCTGCAGAGAGTAAGTCACAGCCTCCTGTCTGCTGAGAGTAAGTCACAGTCTCCTGTCGGCTGAGAGTAAGTCACAGTCTCCTGTCTGCAGAGAGTAAGTCACAGTCTCCTGTCTGCAGAGAGTAAGTCACAGTCTCCTGTCTGCTGAGAGTAAGTCACAGTCTCCTGTCTGCTGAGAGTAAGTCACAGTCTCCTGTCTGCTGAGAGTAAGTCACAGTCTCCTGTCTGCAGAGAGTAAGTCACAGTCTCCTGTCTGCTGAGAGTAAGTCACAGTCTCCTGTCTGCTGAGAGTAAGTCACAGTCTCCTGTCTGCTGAGAGTAAGTCACAGTCTCCTGTCTGCAGAGAGTAAGTCACAGTCTCCTGTCTGCAGAGAGTAAGTCACATATCAGTCATGTCTGTCAAGTCCAGAAACTATGCAGTTACTCACTACGTCCTGGAAACAATATCAAGACAAATCCTTTTAAAAGCATCTGTGTCACAATCAATCACACAATGTAATAGTAAAATTAAAAATCTCTTAAAGCTACCATCTAATTCAAAATATAATATTTCAAATAGTCTTCAGATATTTTCAAAGGATATTTTTCCTTAAGTCTGACTTTCATCAATTTCAGTTGTTTTCTCTTATCGAACTCACAAACACCGAGCTGATGCCTTGAGGACATTCATCGCATACCAGGATAAAACTGGAAAAGGTGGGTTTTCAGCGTTAGAAATTGGCACTTGTCCTATAGTCCTTGCTTAACTGCCCAATGGTAAAGGTATCATAAGGACTAGTAGAAATTTTGCCTTTTTTAAGGGTTTTGCTATATGTTATCATTATAAGGACTAGTGGACGGAAACTGTTAGTTTCTAACCCTAGGTTTTTGTATCTTCAGATTGCAAGTTAATTTACATTAATGATATTCTTGTAACAGCTGGTAATATTCAAAAAGTTTTATGTCCCCCTAATTACAGATACTGGTGCTCAGCAGTAAGGACTGGCTGGCTCAGAGTCAATATAGTGTGTCTCATTGGTGTTAAACTGTGGCATGGTATCTCACTGGGCTACCATTTAAAACAGGTGTAAGCAGCTACACGCGTGCATGCTGTACAAGGGAAATAATCCTGAGTTGTTGTCACCACAGTATGAAGGATGTCTGCTGATCTGTTGTCAGATATTTAACCTTTTCTAAGACAAGTATTTGTGAAATCTAGATATTTTAATCTAACTTTGAAATTGGTAACAGGAGGTTAGCGTGTCTTTTTTTTGGTGCTGGCTGTGATTATTAGCTGCCCTGTGAAATGGAGCTGCTCTAAGTCTTTGTTGAAATCTGACTGATACTGGTAGTTTTCTGAATAGTGCAACACAAAGATTATTGACATCAGAGATTATTCTTCCAAGGACCACTTCCAAATGTCCCCAGGAAATAAGTTTTGCACATGTCAAGGTCAAGGTGATGACATAGAAAATAGTTTGTGGTTACCTTTTTGAAAAATGTTTTCTGCATTTTATAACATTAAACTTGGCATATGCATCTACCTTCTCTTGGATCAGGCACTGAATGGAATAGGTTTAGGCCAAGGTGAAGCTGAGCATTCAGCTTTTTGTAAAACATAGCATACGTATAGAATCTTTACGAATCCTACAAATTGTACGACGTTGAATTTCTATCAAAACTCATGGTCATCTTTAGTTTTTTTGTGAAACATGGTTGTGTAATTTATTGCCAGTTAGTCTTGCACATTTGCTTTTTACAATCCTGAGACTTGGGTCATTGTTGGATCTTGAGAAGTTGTCTTGATTAAGGTCAGTGTCTGGAAGTAATGTTTTTGGACTGGAAGTACATTGTGGTGCATTAAGACTTGGATAAAACATTCATTTATACGAAAACATCATCATTATCTAACTGGCTCCCATTTGCCCTTTGCTATTTCTATTCTTTTACCTATCAGTGCTAATTACCCCAGCCTCCGGTTTGTCCATTGCTCCATTGCATCTCGATACTAATATCGTCATTTCCAAAATTATCCAATGATTAGAAAACTCTTTTGAAATAAAACCACGAAGGATTTAAAGAATCTTAAGTCATATCTGAATATATTATATAATTTGTTAAGGTAATATTCATATTATCCTGTCCCGTCACTTGCCATGTATATATTTGTTAAATGATGTAAATAATTCAAATTCTCATGTACCACCGTTGGTTGGTTGAGTAATAAAATGTTCTGTCTGTGTGCCAGTTACCAGTCAGTGATAATTTAGCCTTAGCTTCCAGTTGTCCAAAACTATCAGCGCTAATTACTGTAAAGTGTTGGCTAATTAGCTATTGCTAATCGCCTATCAGCCCCAATTACCTGCTGGCTTCCCTTGTTAAGTTTCCACCTGTTGTTATCTTATTACTTTTGTTGTTCTTACATGTACATATAGATGTTCTCTGCCTCATAGCAGTCATTCACCTGATGAAGGAGTAAACATATACTCTGAAACGTTGTGTTCCTCATAATAAGGAAGTTGAGATCCATAAATTCCCTTCCATATGTGTATCACTTCTAAATGCCTTTCAAAGACTTGATTTCTATGTCACTGTTGCTATTTTAAAGCAAACTGGTAATAATGTGTCTGTTTACATGTATTTACCTTAATTTCAAACTTGTAGCAACTCCAATGATGCTCACTTTTCCATAAGCAATATGTGACGTGTTGTGATTTGGGAAATAAAACACATTTTATTTGCTATATACAACACTATATCTTTGATGATTCGACTTCGCAACTTTGCATATTGGCAAGAGATTGACTAAAACTATGTTGTGAAAGGATTCCCGACTCACAACAGTTGAGTTGTGCGTTGAACACAAGATCATACCAGCAGATATCATTGACACCTGTAGTCCACCCAGAGGACCATTTAGCACTGTAAGGTTGACTCTCTGTTACTTCTCAGATAACATCCAAACAATGGCTGCCACCACAGAGGGCAAGAAGATGGTCAAAGTGGATGATCTCTGGGATATTTACAAGCAGGTAATCTATTGGTAGTATTAGTAAGTCATATTTGACTGCCCCTGTCAGGATTCCTGGGCAGGATACGTCCACAGTACATCATGTTTGTCTAAAATGTTGACTACAATGCGGACCGAGTGTTCAGGCTCTGGAACCATGGTGTTGTGTTTCATTGTACCCTGATTGTGTGGCTTGTTGCTGTCAACCACTGGATGTTCTGGCCCAGACAGTAATATGGCTGTGGAATAACTGATATGGCTGTGATGTAGGTGCGATGTAGGTGGAATATAGCTGTGATATACTGGTAGCTGTGATATAGCTGGAATATGGCTGTGGAATAACTGATATGGCTGTGATGTAGCCAGAATGTAGGTGCGATGTAGGTGGAATATAGCTGTGATATACTGGTAGCTGTGATATGGCTGGGATATGTCTGGACTATGGCTGTGATGTAGGCAAGAATGTAGCTGCGATGTAGGTGGAATATAGCTGTGATATACTGGTAGCTGTGATATAGCTGGAATATGGCTGTGGAATAACTGATATGGCTGTGATGTAGCCAGAATGTAGGTGCGATGTAGGTGGAATATAGCTGTGATATACTGGTAGCTGTGATATGGCTGGGATATGTCTGGACTATGGCTGTGATGTAGGCAAGAATGTAGCTGCGATGTAGGTGGAATATAGCTGTGATATACTGGTAGCTGTGATATAGCTGGAATATGGCTGGGATATGTCTGGACTATGGCTGTGATGTAGCCAGAATGTAGGTGCGATGTAGGTGGAATATAGCTGTGATATACTGGTAGCTGTGATATAGCTGGGATATGTCTGGACTATGGCTGTGATGTAGCCAGAATGTAGCTGCGATGTAGGTGGAATATAGCTGTGATATACTGGTAGCTGTGATATAGCTGGAATATGGCTGTGGAATAACTGATATGGCTGTGATGTAGCCAGAATGTAGGTGCGATGTAGGTGGAATATAGCTGTGATATACTGGTAGCTGTGATATGGCTGGGATATGTCTGGACTATGGCTGTGATGTAGGCAAGAATGTAGCTGCGATGTAGGTGGAATATAGCTGTGATATACTGGTAGCTGTGATATAGCTGGAATATGGCTGTGGAATAACTGATATGGCTGTGATGTAGCCAGAATGTAGGTGCGATGTAGGTGGAATATAGCTGTGATATACTGGTAGCTGTGATATGGCTGGGATATGTCTGGACTATGGCTGTGATGTAGGCAAGAATGTAGCTGCGATGTAGGTGGAATATAGCTGTGATATACTGGTAGCTGTGATATAGCTGGAATATGGCTGTGGAATAACTGATATGGCTGTGATGTAGCCAGAATGTAGGTGCGATGTAGGTGGAATATAGCTGTGATATACTGGTAGCTGTGATATGGCTGGGATATGTCTGGACTATGGCTGTGATGTAGGCAAGAATGTAGCTGCGATGTAGGTGGAATATAGCTGTGATATACTGGTAGCTGTGATATAGCTGGAATATGGCTGGGATATGTCTGGACTATGGCTGTGATGTAGCCAGAATGTAGGTGCGATGTAGGTGGAATATAGCTGTGATATACTGGTAGCTGTGATATAGCTGGGATATGTCTGGACTATGGCTGTGATGTAGCCAGAATGTAGCTGCGATGTAGGTGGAATATAGCTGTGATATACTGGTAGCTGTGATATAGCTGGAATATGGCTGGGATATGTCTGGACTATGGCTGTGATGTAGCTTGGGCTGGCTAAAATGATTGATAATCAGAATTATCGTTGATGGGAAGAAATATGAACTATTATCGATATGAAACTGTTGTCAGCGATAATATCTCACATAAACTATTACGATGAAATAAAGTTTAAGTGTTACCCAAATAGACTTGACTTTGTCAATGTCTAAGAAGGAAAGCAACTGTTTTTGTTACATGTCAAATGTCCACAAAGTAATCCATGCATAAATGTGTCACTGCTCACCAGTGGCGTGAAATCTGTTGATTTCTTTCGGGACTTTCTTTCATATTTGCTTAAAGTTCCTTCTTCTTTTATTTAGCGATAATTGATCAATATTTAGTTAGCGATTATCGTTCTCTATGATCTATATCGATAGCCAGCCCTAGATTTACCTGTGATGTAGCTGGACTATTGCTGGTATGATTGGAATATGGTTGTGATATGATGTGAAATATAGCTGGAATATAACTGGAATATAACTGTGATATAGCTGGAATATAGGTGTAACAAAGCTGGAATATAACTGTGATATTACTGGAATACAGCTGTAATGTGGCTGTGATTTATGATGGCATGCTGCTAAAGATGTATGACAGTGGGTACCAACCTGATTGCACTCTGTCCACAGCTGTTTGAGTCGCTGGTGCAACACGAGAAGTACGAGAACCTGCTGGAGATCACGACCCTTGGACTGGCCTGTCCTCAGTTCATGAATGACCCAGTCAAGGTCAAGGTAGGGACACTGTCCAGCTCATTACCTGATAAAATGTAACTAGCCCCTCTTGAAAGTTGCAGGCCTGTATTTGTGAATACATTCATAGATGATTATTAAAGTTATTCTTGGGTTTAACGTTTACAGCTTTATAATCACAATGGTAGCTCTTGCTCTGACGTTAGTAAGTTACAAATTAATGTCTGATTCAACATTGTCAGTGTAGCAATGAAATTTTCTACTGACAATCAGACAGTTGAGAATACATTTCACCTATTGTGACAGAAGTGTTACAAGCCACGGGATAGAGGGCAGGCAAGTATTTCTGTCACTGGTTCAACACAGTGTTAAACTCCCTCACTGCTCCAGTGTAGCCAGTGCCATGACAATGTGTCTACAAACCATCTCTCCTGCAGGAATCGGACTTCATGTGTCTGACGGCCTGCATGTTGATGAAGAATGGACAGTTTGCCTACAACTTTGTCAAAGATGAATGTATGAAGGTGAGGTGATTGCCATGTTTCTAAAACAATATCATGACAGCATTTGATGTCCTTACAGTCCGTGTTGGTCCAGAAGAGCAAGTCATAGAATAACTTCTTTGATAGGCATTTAGAAGTCGGAGTACTAAGTAAGGATAAGAATTAATGGATGAACAACTTCTTTATTATTAAGAGCAACATTTCGGTGTAGATTCTAACACCGTTATCAAGCAAGTGATATACATAGTATGGTTGACACGTATATATACAGGTAGGAGGCAATGTTTATACAGTAGAGTAGATATCAGATGTAGATATACTGGAGTGGAGAAGCCTGTTATGTACACGCAAGGGTAGTAACAGCAATCATCAGTGAAGTCAGTGACATAAACAAAGAATGAAGCCAGTAATATAAATAACAGGATTATGGCAGATTGGGGTCTTTGATGAGTTGCTGGTATACCCTCGGCATACCATCAACATTGCGTCCTACCTGTATATATACTTGTCAACCATATGTCTGTATACGTTGCTCTTAATTGTAATAAAGAAGTTGTTCATCCATACATTCTTATCCTTACTAAGTCATAGAATGCTTTGTGAGTAACCAATGATCGATGAGCAATATGGTTATCTGTGAGTGGTGTACAGCAGAGCCTTTCATTACGATTTATTACTCATTGAATTTCAGGAACAAAAAGACTGAAATATCATCCCCTCAGCTTCAGCTGACCGAACAGAAATAGAATCACTAAAATGCTTTGTGTCTTGCCTTGCTTCTTACTTGATGAAAGTTTTAAAATAGTTATACATGACAACATTCAATAAAAAACAGGAAGCTATAACAAATTTGAGACTGCCGAAATTAACCATTCTGCATCTGTTGCATGTTGGAAATAGATTTCTCAGCTTGTGAATCACATATACTTCTCAAAAGAAGTTGACGAACACCCAATTCTTTCATATCACTGTTGTTGATGTGTCATGGCATTAGAGATTAACTATGTTAATATGAAATAATCTGGTGTTCTTTAACTTCTTTTGATTAGTATATATTGACAGCTTATGTCCACATTTGCCTTGAAACTGTTTGTTTTAAACAAAATATAATCTAAAATCTGCTTTACATTTTTATGTATTTTTTTCCTGAAATGCATGATTTTTTGTGGCCAGACCTTATATGATGTATTATTGCATTTCAGAATTTAGAGAACAATCAGGCATGGAACCTGTTTGGCCAGGTCATGTCATTTGCAATGGATATCCGACATAATCGATTTGCCCTCAGACTCTGTCTCAAGGTGAGGACTTAATGTCATTAATCAAACTTGGAGTTTGAATGTATGCTTGAATACACCACATCTGTTTTAGATACTGATACAGTTGATATCTGTAGGGTAGTTTGCAATAAGTGCATTTGAGCTCATCTTCATCAAGAAGTCATGAAATCTGTGATAAATTTCTTTTATTTGTTAATTGTAATGAATTTCTAGGAAATGATACGGTTTAGTCTGAATGATGAAAGATCTGTTATAGTTAAGTGTCTAATGTTGGGACCAGGAACCTGACATATATTTTTAATTTGAGTGGTGGGCTGGTTTTCTTTCAATATCATATTTGATGACTAATGTTATTAACAATGCAATGTAATGCACCTAAAACAGTGTCTTGTTGGAGGTTTAAGGTCCCGAACATTTTGCTGGATCACTCAACACATATTATGTCAGTAACTTGGTGTATGACCTTATGCCATACTTATTAACATAATAAAATTAAATTAGTCACCAAATTATACCAGTAAGATGAGTAAGTGATGTTTTCCTTCCTTTTTAAACTTCTAATTTAAGTATTGCAGCAAAATAACTCATAGTTGTCTTGGCATCAGCTTTTGATTTAACTGGAACACTGTTACACAGTGAGTGAATTGTTGCGAAATATGAAGAAACTGCTGAGATGAATGGTGTGAGATTCCAGAAGTATACCCTGAAGGAAGCTAGGAACATGCAGATGAAGCATAGAGCACTGGCACTGTGTAGTTCAAATTAATTGGTATGTGACATGGACACAAACAAAGGCAACCCCACTATGCAAACCAGTTATGTCAGACAATTTTAGTGTCTGTTGCTGTTACAGTGATTACTAGTAGAAACACGATGTTGTAAAGTATGGTCTAATGTCACAATTTTGTATATATATTTTTTATAACAGATTTTTGTTGGCATTTAGACGTTGGAAGAACATGAAGACTTCTTTATTGCTTGTTTCAGTGTTCCTGGGCTACCTCTTGCCCTTCTAGGGGCGGTCGGGTAGCCTAGTGGTTAAAGCGTTTGCTCGTCACGCCGAAGACCTGGGTTCGATTCCCGACATGGGTACAATGTGTGAAGGCCATTCCTGGTGTCCCCCGCCGTGATATTGCTGGAATATTTCTTTAAAAAATTGGCGTAAAACCACACTCACTCACTCACTCTTACCCTTCTAGGCTGAACACACCTGATGAAGGGGCAAGAAGTCGCCCTCAAACATCACTACAAACAATAAAGTTGTTATCCATAAGATGTATGATTTTAATGCTTTTTTTATTTTTTTATTTCATTCAGGATTGATCCTTAGTAAAATCAATCTTGTATTTAACCAATTCCTGTCACCACTTCCAGCATCCCGAGGTACGAGCTCTTGGCATCATCAATGGCCACAACAGTCTCATCAGCGGAACTTACAAGCACTCGCTAGGTAAGTCTACAATCTTTGCTGAACTCACAATAGAAGTCACTGAGAGAAGGGTGGTTTATTCCATCGTCAGTGGTCATGGTAGCTTGGAAAGTGATTATGCAAACAGGTGGTTGAAGGTGTAAGCATCTCAGGCTTTGTCAGAGGTTATAACTTGAGTCTCCAGATGGTAATCCTTCAAAATACTATTCAGAAGATAAACATTATATCATATGTGTTTTCAGGTTTGTGGGTATATTTAGTATTTGATACGTCCTGTGGGGATCTGTGTAAGAATATAGGTCCCCAACAACCTATGCTTGTCATAAGAGACAACTAAACGGATTGGGTGGTCAGACTGATGACTTGGTTGATTGCGTGTCATCCTATCCTAATTGCATGGATGCACAATATGCTCATAACGTTGATCACTGGGTTGTCTGGTCAACCAGACATTTACAGACACTAGCTGGAATATGCCATGTCAGCGTTAAACAACAACTATATTCCATATTCTAATAGGTCCAAGTAACCAAGTATGGTAGCTGTATGCAATGACTAAAATGGATGTTGTCAGACTCAAGTTACTCGGTTGTGTGTCATTGTACCCCTCATAACATCAACCACTGATTTGTCTGGCCAAGACTAGATTATTTGAGGCAGCAATATAGCATGATATAGCTGTGATATTGCTAGCTGTGGAGTAAAAGAAATTTACTCACTTCCCACTATTGGATTTGTGGGAATTTTCTTTGAACATGTCATATGTTGATAGTATTAGGCTTACAGTTGCAATTTGTAAAACACAGATATTTTAAGCAAAAGACTTCTGTCAAGTTCAGGAGAAGTCTCTTTTGTAATGCATTGATGATGCGCACAATCAATGGTATATTACAGTGTTGTCATGGCAACAGTATATAGAACTGCTGATGGTTCTGTCTGCAGGGGAGTATATGGCAGTGTTGTCAGGGTAACAGTGTATATAACTACTGATGGTTCTGTCTGCAGGGGAGTATATGGCAGTGTTGTCAGGGTAACAGTGTATATAACTGTTGATGGTTCTATCTGCAGGGGAGTATATGGCAGTGTTGTCAGGGTAACAGTGTATATAACTGTTGATGGTTCTATCTGCAGGGGAGTATATGGCAGTGTTGTTAGGGTAACAGTATATCTACCTGCTGATGGTTCTGTGTGCAGGGGAGTATATGGCAGTGTTGTCAGGGTAACAGTATATGTAACTGCTGGTGGTTCTGTCTGCAGGGGAGTATATGGCAGTGTTGTCAGGGTAACAGTATATATAACTGCTGATGGTTCTGTGTGCAGGGGAGTATATGGCAGTGTTGTCAGGGTAACAGTATATGTAACTGCTGATGGTTCTGTGTGCAGGGGAGTATATGGCAGTGTAGTCATGGCAACAGTATATAGAACTGCTGATGGTTCTGTCTGCAGGGGAGTATATGGCAGTGTTGTCAGGGCAACAGTGTATATAACTGCTGATGGTTTTGTCTGCAGGGGAGTATATGGCAGTGTTGTCAGGGTAACAGTGTATATAACTGTTGATGGTTCTATCTGCAGGGGAGTATATGGCAGTGTTGTCAGGGTAACAGTATATCTACCTGCTGATGGTTCTGTGTGCAGGGGAGTATATGGCAGTGTTGTCAGGGTAACAGTATATGTAACTGCTGATGGTTCTGTCTGCAGGGGAGTATATGGCAGTGTTGTCAGGGTAACAGTATATATAACTGCTGATGGTTCTGTGTGCAGGGGAGTATATGGCAGTGTTGTCAGGGTAACAGTATATGTAACTGCTGATGGTTCTGTGTGCAGGGGAGTATATGGCAGTGTAGTCATGGCAACAGTATATAGAACTGCTGATGGTTCTGTCTGCAGGGGAGTATATGGCAGTGTTGTCAGGGTAACAGTGTATATAACTGCTGATGGTTTTGTCTGCAGGGGAGTATATGGCAGTGTTGTCAGGGTAACAGTGTATATAACTGTTGATGGTTCTATCTGCAGGGGAGTATATGGCAGTGTTGTCAGGGTAACAGTATATCTACCTGCTGATCGTTCTGTGTGCAGGGGAGTATATGGCAGTGTTGTCAGGGTAACAGTATATGTAACTGCTGATGGTTCTGTCTGCAGGGGAGTATATGGCAGTGTTGTCAGGGTAACAGTATATATAACTGCTGATGGTTCTGTGTGCAGGGGAGTATATGGCAGTGTTGTCAGGGTAACAGTATATCTAACTGCTGATGGTTCTATCTGCAGGGGAGTATATGGCAGTGTTCCGGCAGACTCCGAGAGATCCCCTCATCAGCCTGTGTATTGGGCTCTGCTTCATCCACATGGTGTGTCAGAAGTTCACCACCAAGAAACACTACCTCTTCACACAGGTCAGTCGACACTTAGTACTTTCATTTTATCTGTTAGCTTTAGGTTTCACATGTTTATTTTTCCAAAAGTCGAAGGTTCCATAACACCTGAAAATCACATAACACATGATGCTTGTCAACATTGTAATTACGAAACTGGTGATAAACCCTTAATTCTCTTGTTCCTGTACTCAAACCAGCATGTCATGTCTCACTCTGTAATGCAATGGTGTCATCCAACGATGGATAATAGGCATCACCACTTCTGTCTTGTTAATACATAACGCAAAGTCAAACTGTACATTGTTTCGCTTCTAGGGTTTTGTTCTTGCTTTGGGAAAAACTCATTGGCTGTGTGTATAATACGCACTACCCTCTTTATATTTGTTTTATTTTGGAAAAGTGTGTTATACACACAAGATGTCACCCTGCCAAATACCATTGGTCAAATTTAGCACTGAGTGAACTATCATGTTTTGCAACTAAATTATTCATACATGTTGTAATTTTCAAAACATTCACAGCCTTTGAGCCCGATTTAGCAAATCAGATTACAGCACACATGCTAAACTGTCAGCCAAAAATATCATGTCCCCAAAATTCAGTGACAAAAGTGTTCGATATTTACAACATGCAGTAGTATCAGAATACTGCAAGCAAATCTACTTGTGATAGGGGCACTGACATATGGAAGTCCTTTCTAGCACAATATCTCCGAAATTACAACCCTATGACAATTTCAGTTAGAACTGGTCGTAAGAGGTGACCAAATAGATCAGGTGGTCAGGCTCTGTGGCTTGCTTGATTGCATTTCATCATACTCCGATGACATGGATTGTAGCTCACATTATTAGTCACTGGATTGTCTGGTCCAGATTCAGTTATTTACAGGTCAAAATCCTAAGGCTGATAGTGGCATTATACAACAAACAAACAAAAAACAAATACTAGATGTCCGTTTGTTTGAATGAGAGGAGTATCTGTATCAAGAGATGGGATGTAATGTTGTGTTGTGTCTAATTGACAGGGTCTGGCGTTCCTCAACAACTATGTGGAACTTCGGGGAGAGTGCCAGGAAACCCTCTACAACCTGGGCCGGGCCATGCATCAGCTTGGTGAGTCAGTCCACTTGTCACCCATTTGCCAGTGTTCAAAAGTAAGGGGTCTTTGAGTCCTGGACGTTTGCACCGACAGTATTTGAGTTTAGGGACCCCTAAATGTTAACCTTTTGACATTTGGGCCCTTGACTTCTTGCTTTCACATGCTGTTTGGTGTGTTTTTTTGGTTTCGTGGTGAGCTATATGTTGATATACTCATGTGATATAATCACATCTGGATCTGATATACTCTGTTTTTTATATACCGTATATTGTTGTGTATAAAGCAAGTTTTTGAGGGGGTTAAGAAGGGGGGTCGTCTTATACACGGAGTCGAAGATATCTTCTTTTTTTTTTCCACTGGCGATGTCATCCGGCGTACGATAGCCAGCCCAGCAATGGACAATAAAACTGTTCCAATAACTATTTCCATACATAAACATGATTTGTATCTCTTTTCCTTGAATAAAGTTTAATAATTTCTGCAAATAAAGTTGAAATGACCCTCACCTCGATGCAGATTGTCAAACCAGCTGACACGGTAAAACAATCAACATCCATGAGCATGATAAGTAGAGAGCCGGAAGTACCGGTAAGCATTTGCATATTGCACATGTGACTTAACATGTGATAACTGGTGAAGCTGAAATCAATTCCCGCTGTTTGTACAGTTGTATTAACAACTGTTGGAGACAGTGTGTATAAGTGATTGTGGAATAAACACGCTGAATGTGAAGCAAACATAAGCCTAGTTAGTTACAACATAGTTAATTGGCGATTAAATTACTCACCATTGTTTCTTATATGTTATTACTTCATAAATGAATTTTATTTTACGGTCATCAATTTGGTGTCGTACTGTGTAAACACAAAATGGCAACATGTGTTGGAGTTACACACGCGACCAATCATCGTAGAAAAAACAGTGCAAGATAAACATATTCTATTGCATATATAAGGTTTGTCTGCGCACTTGTGATGTGCTTCATTCCAGGTCGCCTTATACACGGAGTATAGGATTTTGGGTTGATTTTGAAGGCGTGTACAGGGGGGTCGTCTTATACGTGGGGTCGCCTTATACACAGCGATATACGGTACTCATGTGATATACTCTGTGTCTGATGTACTCAGGGTCAGATATACTCATGTGATAAATTCTGTATCTGATAAATGTCTATGATATACTCTGTAAAGTCTTTGATAATCATTTAGAAGTTGGATGATCTTGAAGACGTGAAACTTCTTATGGATACCAACTGTGCTGTTACCTCCTGAAACCCCATGTTTCACTTGCTTTGTCCACAGAGCTGAAGTATGCAGCTGTGTACTACTACAAGAAGGCTCTGGCATGTCCTCCCATCATTAAACATGATAAGGTGAGCTACAGGCAACAATTCTGTCAACTTACCCATGTACTCAGTAATATATGACAAATATGTTGTATATATATGTTGTATATATATTGTTTCAAGATAAGATTTTTTGTAAAGCAAGTAAATAAACAGGCTGAATGTAATAAAGTAACATAATTATCTTTGACACATTATAGTATTCAGATTTGCTCATTTCGGTAAAATGGAGAGAAAAAATGTTTTGTTATAAATTGGAAAATGTTGAACTTTGAAAATCTGTAGGAAGACCAGGAGAGATGAAGGAATTTCTGTGACTTTGATTTGTTCATGGCACAGATTTGAAAAATCTAGTTCAACTTTTAAAATTGAAAAAAAGTTGTCAAATGTTTTAAATAACCAGGGACTATCTGACTTGAATCTGTTGTTTGCAGGGCATATTTGACCTGAGCATGGAGATCGCCCACAACCTGGCACTCATCTACATGAAAAGTGGCTCTCACGACCTCGCCCGCATGGTGGTAGGGCAGTACTGCGTCATTTGAGGTGAGGTGCTTGTGTTCTCCTGACACTGTGTACCATGGAACATTGTCATATATATCTTGACACTGTACCCAGGTAATCTATGTCCTGGCACTATGTACCGTGGTAATATATATCCTGACACTATGTACCGTGGTAATATATATCCTGACACTGTACCATGGTAATATATAACCTGACACTGTGTACCATAGTAATATGTATCCTGACACTGTGTACAATAGTAATATGTATCCTGACACTGTGTACAATAGTAATATATATCTTGACACTGTGTACCATGGTAATATATATCTTGACACTGTGTACAATAGTAATATATATCTTGACACTGTGTACCATGGTAATATATATCTTGACACTGTGTACAATAGTAATATATATCTTGACACTGTGTACCATGGTAATATATATCCTGACACTATACCATGGTAATATATAACCTGACACTGTGTACCATAGTAATATATATCTTGACACTGTGTACCATGGTAATATATATCTTGACACTGTGTACCATGGTAAATTATATCCTGACACTGTGTACCAAAGTAATATATATCCTGACACTGTGTACAATAGTAATATATATCTTGACACTGTGTACCAAGGTAATATATATCTTGACACTGTGTACCATGGTAATATATATCTAGACACTGTGTACCATGGTTATATATATCCTGACACTGTGTACCATGGTAATATATATCTTGACACTGTGTACCATAGTAATATATATCTTGACACTGTGTACCAAGGTAATATATATCTTGACACTGTGTACCATAGTAATATATATCTTGACACTGTGTACCATGGTAATATATATCTTGACACTGTGTACCATGGTAATATATATCTTGACACTGTGTACCATAGTAATATATATCTTGACACTGTGTACCATGGTAATATATATCTTGACACTGTGTACCAAGTATATATATATCTAGACACTGTGTACCATAGTAATAAATATCCTGACACTGTACCAAGGTAATATAAATCTTGACACTGTGTACCATGGTAATATATATCTTGACAATATGTACCATAGTAATATGCATCCTGACACTGTGTACCATGGTAATATATATCCTGACACTGTACCATAGTAATATATATCTTGACACTGTGTACCATAGTAATATATATCTTGACACTGTGTACCATAGTTATATTTATTACCCACATGGTGAAGATGCAGGTGGTAAGATACTAAATCTGTACGTCACACGCGTGTCGTACAAGGTTGGCCTTGTTTTATTCGTTTGGATTGGATAACCATGACCTCTGTCACACCGGGACTACTTTTTTCATTCATAAAAAAATCGCGAGACGTCATTCATTTTTGCAACTACAAGGCAGAACTGAAGCAATCTCATGTGAGCGAGAGATATGAACAAACACTTTATTAAACCAAACAAGATAGTCACACGCATCTAATTCGGTTTGCATCCTATATAAGTTATGCATTGAGCTTCCACAGACATTATATAATCGAGCTATATCCATTTACAATGTAGGACTACCGTTCAATAAATCGAGGGTCCCAATGAGCGTGACGCACCCGACTTTCACAACTTCCCATTTGATTTAACGTAAAAGGATAAGCGTGGTGAAATGAAGTCACTTTAAACTATCTGGACAGATATCTAGACTTGTTGTGCAATCAGTGTCCTCTTCGAAGCATATTTTGTGGCGCTGTTTCGGGAGTTGTTTGTTGACGACTGCACAACCAGATCACTCAAAGTAAACATTTCCGATACAAATCATTCGAAAACTCCGTAGAAGTGTGCCTGATTTCTGATTATGTGGCCCAAAATATCCCAAAGGTGAACAAAAGCATTCCCTATCTCTAGCGTAAAACGCTGAGTAGATCACGGTTGTCTTTTCTTATTCCGGTGGTGACCTTGCCCTTCGTTCGAAGCTGACATACAAGCAGACTTGAGCGTGTTGATTTTCACATCTTCAGTAAAGGGTGGTACAGTAAACATGAATAATTCTTGTGAATACCTCACCTCTATCACATCAGTGCCATAAATTCCTGTTTATGCTGAGAACCACACTATAAATTTTTATAAATTTTCAACAGACGTCCACTACACTGCCAACATATCCATAGTTGTGAGGGAAACCCTATCCCTTGTCAGAGGCGCCACTGCGCATGCACAAGGCGGGAATCTAGTCACTTCTTTCCTGTGTGTCCTGATGACAACAAGGAAAATTTTTTTGTTGCACATCCGAACACGTGATTGAGTTCCACATACAAGATAGATCGTCTCAAGCTTTATAGACTACAAGCAGAGAGCAGTTCCACTAGCAGAACGGGGGTATAGAAGATCGGAGTCTCTAGTAAGTAATTAGTTAAGAAAAGTGTTGTGGGATGAGATCTTCATCTCATAAGCAGACACCTGTCTGTTCGGGCTGTGGACAACACCAAGCTCCTGGGGATCCTCACCCTAGATGTCTCGCATGCAAGAAAAGCAGCTGTACACAGAGGTCAAGGTGCAGTTATTGCGAGCATCTGTCAAAAGAAAAATTTGACAAGCTCTCCAAGACATGGATCAAAAATCCCGATCATAAAACGGTCACTAGAGCATCTACATCAAGAAAACAAGTGATTAAGCCCGTGGCGGCTAAAATTAATCACGGGGCTGACAAGCGAGTGTCGCGCGAGGGCGCCGTCTCACCTTTTGAGGAGAAGAGACCCCGTCGCTCATCCCACTCTCCCAATAATGTTGAGGAGCAGATGCATGGAACCGGTCAAACAGAAAGTGCCTCTAACTTGCATCCGGCAACGTCTGGTACGGTCGATCATCGAGTTTGGACAGAAACTAACGACTTTCACCCTCTGCCGCGTTCCCCCTTTAACGTTAATGAGTTCACGGAAAGAATAACAAATTCAATGTCTGTTATGATTGACACATGCATGCAATCTATGTCTCGAGAAATCTCAGATCTAAAAGAATCAGTTAATCAAACCCGGCTTGGCCAATCAGGGATTGATCACGAGAGTAAACAGAGATCTAAGGCTGAATATGGCAGTACACCCTCATACAGCAGACATGTACAAGGTTACGCTGAATCAGACTATGAGGACAGTAGGAGAATTATACTAAGAGAGCGAGAATCTCATAGATCTTCTCCCTACCACGCACATCACAGGGCTCATCGTGAATCACGGTCTTCACACCGCAGTATGCACAGAAATACGCACCAATCACCGTCAAGCCACTATGATAGACGCACCGACAAAGCTCGTGCATATCAGGATAGTAATCCTAAGCGTGTACCCTCTCATACTGCCACACAGTCCTGTTATACGGGCGAAGAAAGCGAGGGAAATATGACATCACCATACAGTTATAGAACACGTGATTCCCGCACAGCTTGCCGTAAATCAGACGACCGGGATTACGATACCCTCAGCCATACGACCCACTCCCAGCCCAGCCAGAGTAGGGGGTGCTGATCTACACCTGAGTATTCAGGCTATGGGGACACTGCTATAGAGGAGGATTATAGATCAAACAATTACTCCCTTAGAGACATCATAACAGAACTTTATGAACTAATGCCCACCTTAAAACCAGACCAGGACAGTACACCCGTTAAACCCTTGATTGAACGGGCAGGATATGAGGGACCCGATAAGGGGACCGAACCATTCCATACGCTTCCCCCTCCGTCATATTTGGATGACGTCATCAAGAGAACTGAAAATCAATTGAACTTTTCAGCGGGTCCTAGTGCTAAACTGAAGCCTATCTATATTAGATCTGCTTACAAAACACATGATGATCCATTCACACTACAGCCTAGCATTGACGAAGATTACTTCGATCTGGTTAAGAAACCTAACCCCAATATGCGCATTGATATGTCCCAGATCAAGAGCTTAGATAAGGTCAATAAACAAATGATTAATACCAGTTCTTACATCAACTGGTTAGCAGCTGGTATTCGCCATGTCATACCCCCGTACAACCAGAGCGATGATCTTCCCTTAGACACTTCCACGGAGATGACTAGTCAGAAGACGGGATTTATCCACAGCTCATTAGACCACATACTGAAGATGCAGGAAGACCTCCTATCATCTCAAGTATGGATGTCAGCGCAGTTTCTGCTCATGCAAAGAAGACACTTACTACAGCAAGTTCATCATGTGATGCCAGACCCTTTAAAGAGATCCATGATGTCACAGCCCATTACGTCATCACAGTTTTTCAACGGTAGACTGAAATCGGTGAATCTCGTCAACTAACCAGAAATTTCAGGAATCTCGTTAGCATCCAAGTTACAGAGACAACCGGCAGTTACTCGACCCCAGGGACAGAGCCCTGGACCCCGACGCGAACAGCCCAATCAGAATTCTTTTCGAGCCTCTACTCAGAGAAACAGATCGTATCAACCCAGGTACAAGAACTCCAGAGTTGATCTTCCCACTTCACAGAGAGGACTTGGCAGAGGAAGAGGCAGTTCCCGTAGGGGCCCCCCTCGGAGATGACTTCACCATAAATCTTCAGACCCATCCAGATCCTACCGACTTCGCCTGCCCTACGGACAACGAGTTAGAATTACGGAAGACCAAGGACACGCCTACTCCAAATCCAGTCGAACTAGCCAATCTTACAAACATCGACCCAAGACTACCCAAGTTCAAATCTCATCCTATTCCGGGACCAGTCGGAGGCCGTCTTATGCAGTACGCAGACAACTGGGAGACCATCACAGACGACTCATGGTTACTCGAAGTAATAAGAAGAGGCTACAAACTTCACTTCTTAAAACGACCAAAACTAGTCATTCATCCTACCGGCCCCCGATTCCAGCTATCAGGACCGAAGCTAGTCGCAGCAGAAGTAGCCATACAAAAATTACTCACAAAAGGAGCTATCAGCACCCTAAAGGAGTCAGACAACTCCCCCGGATTCTACTCCCCAGTTTTCCTGGTACCGAAGAAGAATTCTTCAGAGATGAGATTAATAATAGACCTAAAAACTCTGAACAAAGATTATCTGGAAAAACCACCCACATTTCAGATGGAATCTATAAAGAAGTTGAAGAATTCCCTAAGACAAGCAGATTGGATGATAAGCATAGATCTCCAAGACGCATATCTTCACGTCCCGATCCATCCAAGTCATTGTCGATACCTACGATTCGCTGTCAACGGTCAGAGATACCAGTTCAGGGTACTACCATTCGGCATATCCATCACCCCATGGTTATTCACCAGGATCACCAATCCCGTCATTGGTTCCGCCATCTAAATCTCATAAGGCTTCATGGATATATCGACGACTTCCTATCGGTCGATCAGGACGAATCACAAATCAGTCTAAACACAGTGTGTCTCATCCAACTTCTCACAAACTTAGGTTTCCTGGTTCACGCTCAAAAATCAGAGCTGGCACCCACACAGGTCATCACCTACATAGGCGCAAGATTTATCCTCGACAAGGGCATAGTAGCACCCCTAGAGGACAGATATGCAAGAGTACAGAGCATGATTACATGCGCACTCGATCAGCCCGTCAAGTCGAGACACTCGTGGATGTCTTGCCTAGGCACGCTCACATCTATCCAAGACCTAACCTACAGAGGCAGGCTACAATTAAGGCCATTGCAGATTTGGATGAACACCACCAAGAATCTAGAGCTGGAAGCACTAATCCAACCCCCAGAAGTTCGAATCTCAGAACTCCTTTGGTGGCTAAATCGCCAAAATGTCATGCCAGGTATTCCACTACCCCACCCCCCTACATCAACTCTACACAGATGCATCAGGAGAGGGTTGGGGTGCCCATATGGACGATGCCACCATTCAAGGGAAATGGTCCTCCCAAGACAAAGAGCTACACATCAATTGTCTAGAAATGAGAGCGATATATCTAGCATTAACAGCTTGGCTAAATCGTCTACACCACTCGTCAGTGAAGATCGCTACAGACAACTCAACCGTGGTCGCTTACATACAGCACCAAGGGGGCACAAGATCTCAGCCTTTACCGAAGGAGGTTACACGTTTATATGCCTTGGTAGACTCAGTGAGTTGCAAGATCGAAGTAAGACACATTCCGGGCAAGCTAAATATACTAGCAGATTACCTATCCCGGAAAAACAAGATAGTACCAACAGAATGGTCACTACATCCCGAGGTGTTCAAGTGGATAACCCAGATATGGGACACTCCAAACATAGATCTATTCGCCACATGTCTCAACAACAAACTACCAGTCTACGTCAGCCCAGTACCAGACCCACTAGCACTCCAAGTCGATGCGCTCCCAATGGAATGGAAGGGAATGTTTGCTTACGCATTTCCCCCATGGGCTCTCCTAGACAGAGTACTGAAGAAAATAGAGGAAACGGATTGTGTCATAATGCTCATAGCCCCGGCTTGGCCCAAAAGGGCTTGGTTTCCGAGACTTCTACAACTCCTGCTAGAAGTACCTCTGAAACTCCCAGTACGTCACGACCTATTGAGACAACCAAAGACGGACATATTTTACAGCCGCCTCGACAACCTCCATCTTCACGCTTGGAAATTATCTCGCATAAGATGCAAGCCGCCGGTTACTCTAAATCAGCTGCACGAAGAGTGGCTAGCTCAAGGAGACCAGCCTCATCTGCCTTATATAATAACAGATGGGACAAGTTCGTCGAATGGAGAAGAGGGAAACAGTTACATGGAGATATAACGATACCTATAGTAGCCGAATTCTTGATCCATCTCAGAAACGACAAGAAATTACGACACGGCACTTTCGAAGGATATAGATCAGCCCTGTCATCAGTATTACAACACGATGACCTATCTATAGGTACCCATCCAGTACTAAATCGACTTTTGAAGTCTTTTGCCCTGGAAGATATAAAAGTACCACGTACTTTTCCTAAATGGGATCTATCTATAGTATTGTCGGCATTGATGAAAGCACCGTATGAACCCATGAGTAGTGTGACATTACTATCAGTCTCCAAGAAAACTGCTTTTCTCTTAGCCATGGCTACGGCGGCTCGTGTGTCAGAACTACACGCTATTGATATCTCCACTGTAACCCATACCAAAGAATGGAAAGCAGTGTCGTTCAGATCGCTCCCTGAATTTATTGCCAAAAACCAGTCGTCAACCTTCGGCCCACTCGGACATCGGCAATACACGATACCAGCCCTAAGTAAAAGTGTGGACTTCCCGGAAAGATTGCTTTGCCCCATAAGAGCCTTGAGATATTTTATCACAGCGACTCAACCCCACAGAAAGCAGAGAAAACGCCTATTTATCTCTTGCAAGCCCTCGTCAGAAAAGGACATCGCAAAGGGCACTGTAGCGGGATGGCTAAAAACAGTTATCACAGATAGCTATAAAACGGCACAAATTTCCACGCCGATTTGGGGTAGCTGCAGACCCCACGAAATCAGAGCACTGGCAACAAGCCTAGCCACATGGAATACTGCATCCATCGAACAAATCGTGGCCAGCTGCCAGTGGAAGTCCCACAACACTTTTTCAAACTTTTACTTACGAGACATACAGACCGATCTAAATGGACTATACACTCTGGGGCCTTTGGTGGCCGCCCAGGTGATAGTTACCAAGTAAAGTAACCTGTTCCCTCCCTCTTCCAGGAAAGGGAAAAAAGAGGGAGGGGGGGGAAGATTTCAGAAGTACCTCAGGAACTCAGGGTAAGTTGTACTTTGTTACTGGACTGCACTATTGAGTTAGTAAAACAGGGCAAATGTCAACACTGAAATCAGAGATCGAAGGATTAAGTGATATACGGTAATCTACATGATAGGAACGTCAATGTACTACCACCGGAAGTGACGTCATAGGAGTCATCACACCGGAGAAACGTTAAGATACGTTAAATATCACTATCCAAAAAGGGCATAACGGTAAACCACGTCATAAGTGATACGGGAGAATAGTGACACCGGAAGTGACGTCACAGATGACGTCATCACCGGAAGTGACGTCACAGATGACGTCATCACAGGAAACGACGTGACTAAAAAGTCTAAGTATCACAAGGGAATATACATATACCCTTCATATGACGCCTTGAAAAATTCTATATGTCTAAGTCTTGTAAGTAGACTATTAGACACATCCGTTTAAGACCCTTTTGGCATATAATCCTTGGTTTTACCACTTCACTAGCCAAATATCTATGGGATGCTAGATACCAGAACCCGCCAGTCCCTCTGGTGTATACTGGCACTGATGTGATAGGGGTGAGGTATTCACAAGAATTATCAAACAATAGTTATCATTGTGAATAATTCTAAGATTACCACCTCTATCAAATCAGGAATTAATCCCTCCCACCTCCCCAAATATCTGCATCTAGTTGATGAGAGTATGGGTTGAAAGAAGTGACTAGATTCCCGCCTTGCGCATGCGCAGTGGCGCCTCTTACAAGGGATAGGGTTTCCCTCACAACTATGGATATGTTGGCAGTGTAGTGGACGTCTGTTGAAAATTTATAAAAATTTATAGTGTGGTTCTCAGCATAAACAGGAATTTATGGCTCTTAGAATTATTCACAATGATAACTATTGTTTGATGTCTTTGGCGAACCCTCTGATTTCCCTCTTCCAAAATGGTATGGACATGATATAAATTCAGCTGATAGATCAAGGAAACCGAACCATTTTAAATGCACAGACAAGACCCCGGCAGTGCGAGTGACCGACTGTTGGTCCGATATTGACATTGACTTTTCAAATTTTCTTATAGGTGTCCTGTGTACTAACAATGTGGCACTTGAATTCTCATAAGTTGAAGAAATTCTTCCAAAAGGAACTTGAGCGTCTGTGCTGTTTTGTTTTCAAACACAACTGCAGGCGCATGGTGTTAATGCGTATGCATAGGAATGTCAACAATGCCCATATTTGGGCATATATCAATATTCGTACGCAACCAGATTTGTCAACCAGTTTCAGTTTGGTCTGTCAACAAACAAAAGTTGTTATGTATTTACACTTACATACATATTTAACGTGGGTAATAAATAAAATACCACACGCATTCTCGTTAGATACCGTTTTTACGAAACTCGTGAACTTTCTATGTTATCTGACCTCCCTTTCGCTCGGTCAGATACCATAAAAAGTCCACTCGTTTTGTAAAAATGGTATCTAACGAGAATGAGTGTAGTATTCTCTATATATCCTGACACTGTACCATGGTAATATATACTGAACCAAATTAAAAACTTCACAATCCTAAAATTTTTGTGGGCCCTTATTGTGTATTTAAACAGTAATTGCCACGTATTGTTTTCAGATAACACCCGTTTTTGTGCAGGTGAATCGATCAAAATCATGTGCACAGCACTATAGTGGCAAAAGTGGTTTTTCACGTGCAACTGGGCACGTGGCCATAATGCCGCACGTGTTTTCAGCCATACTTGTTAGCAGTCATTAACAAAAAAAGAAAAACACAAGAAAACAAAAGTCTTTACGGCCATTTGTCATGCCACGCCTTTCAAATGTGCAACGTGAACGTGCCATCAGCATGTTGCAGACGTGAACATCCGTTGCTGAAGTCGCAAGGATGATAGGTTGTAGTCGACGGACTGTTTATGATTTACAGACGCGTCTACAGCAAACGGGTACCACCGCTGATCGCCCTCGGCCAGGTCGACCATGTGTGACGTCACATGCAGAGGATCATCAGATTGTCTTACGTCACCTCCGTAACCGATTTTTGACGGCTACATCAACCAGAAATGAAGTGTTTAGGGGTAGACTGAGTGCGCAAACTGTTCGAAACCGTCTGAGAACTGCTCACCTTCAAGCACGACGGCCATACTGCTGGCCGATTCTGACTCAATTACACAGACGTAAACGTCAATTGTGGGCACAGCGACACTTACGATGGACTCAGAGGAATTTGAATCAAGTCCTCTTCAGTGATGAAACCCGATTTAATCTTCAATTTGCTAATGGTAGGGCGAGGGTGTGGAGGCGCCGTCATGAACGTTACGCCCAGTGTTGTGTACAGGAAGTTGACAGATTTCGAGGTGGAAGTGTCATGGTGTGGGATGCTTTCTGTGGCAATGCACGTTCCAGGCTTCTTGTCATCCGTGGCAACCTCAACGCTGCTGCTTACCGCGACCAGGTACTGGCACCAGAACTTCTGCCTTTTATGGCAGCACATGGACCCCGGTTTGATCTTCCAACATGACAATGCCAGACCCCACACAGCAATTTTGACAAGGAATTTCCTTCAGAATGCGGGAGTCAATGTCATGGACTGGCCGTCAAGGTCTCCCAACCCTAATCCCATCGAACACGTCTGGGTTGCTCTTGGCAGAAGTCCAGAACTCTCCAGAACCAACCACAGAATTTGCAAGATCTTGGCACCATTTTGCAGCAACCATTGCGTCGTCTTCCCAATCATGTGTTCACAAGCATCACAAGGTCCATGCGGAGGCGTTGTGTGGCAGTTGTCAACGCACAAGGTGGCCATACACGCTACTGAACTTGTGTGCCATCAGATTCTCGTGCTTGGGACTTATGATTTAAACTGTTGATGTTATTACCGAATACCGTAGGTGCTTGGAACAAATTATGGTTACCACCGTTAATTAAAATCCTTCTTTGGACATTAATGATTAAAAATTACCTTCTCTGATACATTTGTCCGTTGTATATCATATATGGGATTACTTATAAAAATGTGAAGTTTTTAATTTGACTCAGTATATGTCCTGACACTGTGTACCATGCTTTCTATCAAAGCTTTCAGTGGATCCAGTATTAAATCAGACTCATTCACTAGATCCCACTTGTGCATATGTTGCACTTTGGTTGACTAACGACTGATTGCTCCAGCTATATAATATTTACATTGCAGAATTCAGATAGATGATGGGGTTTCAAGATCATTTCTTTGCTTCCTTTCAACTCTGTCTATGCTGCAAAATGTAGACAAACCTATTGTTAATATCTGTGTACTGAGTGAAGGCACCTGTCTAAACAGCCAGGATCCAATCACACAGTATGCACTTGTAACTATGCACTTGTAACTATGCAGTGTTGTCAGGTTGATTCATCATCAGTGTTTCTGTTACTGACCAGAAATATAACTGGGACTGGCAGTTGCAGTTGGTCCTGGGACAAATATTGTTGAAATGTATATGATAATTACTAATATTCTGCCATGTAAAATAAGCACAAATTTCATGATTATGTTAACAATGTGAGAGGTACAACCCGCATACATGTATATGTATGACTTAATCATCCTGCACTGAATACAAAGGTCTCTTGTCATTGGCTAATGATATCTTGGGTTTTATTCTTACGATAAACTGGTTTGAGAGTATATTGCAAATGCATATGAAATGGCAGAAATATCAATGCCAACATTGCTCTCTTCCTTTCTTAGTTGCAAAAGTATGGCAAGTTTGTAAGTGATGATACGCTAGGTCTAAGGTGTTTGATGTTCTTTTTTCAGTAATGAGAGTGTTGTAATCTGGACTGGTGAAAAGTTGCCAGGATGGGTATCTATTCTCCCAACAAAAAATAAGGGAACTGATGAAATGATAGTGAAGGTGTAATGATGATAATGTCTAAAATTAATTTCGGGTGTGTAATTAATATCTGGTGTGTCGTCCATGTTGGGCAATGTTGGTGGGTGTCAGAGATAATTGGTGACAACCTGGTGGCCTGGCGTTGTCATCTGGAGAATAGATAGACTGAGGTGGTGAAGTGAGGCAAAATGGGCTTTGACGTCGCTTTAAATATCATTAAATAGCAACATGCATGCGTCTGTCTGTCTGTCTGTTTAGGGAATGGAGACTTGGTAGTGTTCTCTGTTGCTTTTGCATGTGCCCCGTCGCGAGCTGATCTTTGCAGTGCATGTTTCACGGCTCTTTAGAATGTTTTGTCAAAGTGTAAGATTAGAGATGTGTTTTAAGTAGGGGAATATCCTCGTAGCTCTCCATTCCTGCGGGTAAGGAATGGAGAGTTACTTGGACATTCCCCTCTATGGGTTTAGTCTGCAAGAGATTTATATGCCCTTCATTCAGACCAGTCAGGCGGCATAACCCCAGCAGTGATTGATACAGAAGGAAATGCGGTTTATTGGGACACTGTCAAGGGAAGTGTTTCATTGATGGAGAGATATCCAACAACTGTTACATCTTCCTGTGGCCTGCATCATGGAGTCGGAGTCGGAGTCGGAGTCGAGTGAGCTCACCAATTAGACGTCATCTTTTAGAGATTATTTTGTGTAGTGATCAGGAAGCCCAATGTGGAATGTGTTGGAGAGCTCTCATGTTTCTTCTGATTGTGTCTGTAAACTAAGGTCAATTACAAGAGGGTCAATGTAGGAAGGGAATTCTTACAGGGATTTATCTAGACCTGCTAAGAGGCCAAAATTCAACCCTGTCTCTGCAGCAATTGTCAGTAAAACTTCCCAAGTTGGAATTAAAGATTTCCTAATTCATCATAGTCATGCTGTTATAGTTGTAACTAATGTTATTACTTTGTAGTGGGGACTTGTATTTCACTTATATCAGGGCCAACATAGAGGAAGAGACCTAATGCTTAGTTTATTGCAGTGAATTCAAGGTTAAAATACCTCTGAATTTTAGGAAAATAAGACCCGAAGAAATCTTTTTAAACAAGATAGCAAAAATGCCTTAAAGGGCACTTAATTTAGAATTCTA